AAAAGGGGAAAGTAGACCTGTTGTGACTCTTTTCTTTTGACCACCAGAAATTCCTCTTGTCATTTCGTCTCCGACCACCGTATCTTTGCACATGTCAAGCCCTAGTATCTGAAAATAATTCAATATTTACCAGAAATTGTCAAACAAAATAGACTTAAATTGTCTATTTCTGGAATTATTGGGGGTTATTTGGTGAAACCTGATTAAAACTTTGACTTTTAGGTAAAAAGTAGAAAGAAGTAGGTAAATGTAGGGTCCACTACTTGCGTGAGTTAGTATTTGAGATGAAGAATACTTTTAATCTGTTATGTACTAGTCATTAATTATTTTTTGTTAACTGATTGTATTATATCTCCCTACTTGTTAGTGAATCATAATAAATTTAAATATTGGCACTCGGCTAGGGAAAGACACCTGTTAAAGCCTTCAACCCAAATTTCCTAATTTTTTTTCTTTTTGTTAAAAACTTACAAAAATATAAAAACTAAAACACCAAAATCCTACCACTAATTATACCTTAACTAAGTGATTAGATTTTAACCTTACACTCTATATCATTAGAGATCTATTAAATCTTTATACTATATTCGACAAAATCGCGCTATATGTTAAAGTGAGATCATTACTTTGAGAGTGTAGTCTGTGATGAGACTGCTCTTGACATTCCCAGCTGCGATGGACTTCATAAAGAGATCCACCTCCGGTTCGGGCAAGATCCCTGCTTCCTTCTCTCTCCTCACCAACTCGCTTAACAAATCTAAAACATTTGAATTTTCTTAATTTAATTAGCTAAATTCGATTATAAATGGATGACAACAAAAAAAAAAACAGTAACAAAAACAAAACTAGTGGGAAAAAAGTGATAATTACCGTATCTAGTGCCAATGCCTTGGCACCTAGCAGAGAAATCAAGTGTCTCTTGGACAGTCATGACTCCAATATGAACATCGTTTTGGCTTATGTATGCTGATGTTTTCTGTGACACAATTTCATCTAATCCATGCCCATTGTATGTTACTCTCCCTGTCACCTGTCCATTTCATTAATCAGCTTAATTAGAAAATCATATTACTCTTCTTCCTATAATTTGTAGATAATCATGTGTTGTTTCACCTTTAAGCTTGGGTCCAATTTTCCAGCTAAAGCCAACAAAAGAGTTGTTTTCCCTGATGATGGTGGACCTAATAAAAGTGTCATCCTGCAACCCACCAAAACCATACATCATATGAAAATAATTAAAATCGATATAAAGCAGGAATAGTAAATCTCAAGTTAATTTACCGTGAGGGTTTAATGATACCAGAGGCGTCTCTAAGGATAGTGAGTTTAGTGGTTTTAGCAAAGTTGAAACCAAATAAACGAAGGCCTCTCTCTGCAATGTTTAAGGCAACGTTAGGTAATGTGGGAAGAGCTCTTTTTCCGATGTGACAATCCGCCTCTATCGTCAATTTCTCGAATCTCACTTCCACGGTCGGTAGCTTTATCCCCACCCTGTCATAATTTTGTATATATGTTAGAAATCTCACAATCTTTAATAAAGAGACTCCAACTAGAATTTGAATTAAACTCGGGTGTTGTTAAATATAATGAAAATATAATAAAACAGGATAATTTGTAGATTTTATATCAATGACATACTTTAAGTTGAAATTTTTTTTAAAAAAAATGAACGACCCAATATATACTGTATACAAAATTTTGTTTTCAATCAGAATCGTAACACTTTGCAAATAGATCGGTTGCATGTCTGAAACAATTAGTCCTGCCAAAATCTAGATTAATAAATACCTATCGATTCGTTTCCTCAATTTTTTCAAAAACTTCTCGTTATCTTCCTCTGTGACTTTGAAGATAGAATCAATGAACTTCTGGCGATCATCGACGCCGAGCTTGGTGACGTCGACGAGATCATGAGGTTGGATGATAGTCGTACGAAGACGAGTGAAGGTTGGAAGTTTCTCGAGAGCAGCCCATTTAAGAGCTTCCTCGTCATGATCATCGACCGAACCGCTTCTCCTTGAGAAATTATTACTACTGCTCGTTAACAATTCTCCTAAGCTCTTGCTTAGGCTTCTTGATAACGTCTCCATATTATTATTTGTTTTTTTTTTGTTGGGGGGATTTGGGGAAGAAGAAGAAGAAGGGTTTATTAATGCAAAGTTGATTTGGTGGCCAAAATGTTTCGGGAAACAAAAAGAAAGCTTGGGGAATCTCAGCGGGTTTAGTGGGTGAAAGAGCAAGGAGATGTCTACTCTTCTTTATTAAAAAAAAAAAAATTAAAGTAGGAAATCTAAAGAATTAGGAAAAAGGTTAAAAGGTTATTAAGTGAATAACAAACTTTTTCTATTTAAAATCCAAAAATTGAAGAATTTTTTTTGCTCTACAAAACTTTGATTTATTGGTAAAAATCCAAAAGTAATTACATAAGACAAAAATCTATTTTTGAGCATACACGCTAGATATCAAAAAAGTTCACCCTGATCTTAAAGAAGCATCAGATTCGAAACACGACCTACCTACATTGTACTTACTCACATTTTAGTGGTCTAAAGAGAGCAGATAATTGGTCAAAATTACCAACACGTCTTCTTAAGCCCTCAAAAACCGACACGTGAATTAACAGAGCAAGAGATGTCATCTACATAAACTTTAAACTTTAATTAAGTACTACGGAGTATTTTTTTTTACCCCAATTTATTTCACTAAAGCTTTAAATTTAAGGGTGTAAAAATTTATGATGATATTTTGTTTTTACAATAGTGAAATAGTTCGAAATATACATACATATAGTTTAGATTTCATCCTTGGTGCCCGGTTTATGTATACCAGCTGATTCGATGACCAGCTGGTTCATTGCTGGGTGTATAAATATGATATCTAATGAAAGATACCTTAATTTCATGAAGGTGACCTAATTGCTTCATTTTTTTATCGCTCACTTGATATAAAATCATTGATGATATAGTGTTTTTAGAGCTGGTATGATGGAATTCTGCACTCACCAACTCAAATCTTTGCAACGTGTGTGGCGTTGAACAAAATTAACCAAACTTCTAAGGCTCAAATGTCAGAAGAGCTTGAAATTTAATCTCTATGGCCTCGACCGTTCGTGGACCCAACACCAACACTAACTACTTTTTTTTTCTTCGACCGTTGATACCTGAAATCATTGTCCATTTTTTTTCGTAATGTAAAATTATTTTCAACAAAAACACTGTTTACAAGAGTTACTTGCGGCATTTTTAATAGATAGAAATCAGAGTGAGATTGTTAAAAGATTGGAATCATTTACTGTATGTCACAAATTTGTCATGCGGGCGTTGATATTTCGAAAATTTCTCCTTTTTTTTTATAATAATCCTAGATATGGCAACGTTATATCGACGTATGTGACATGAGATGGTGATGTAGGTGTGATGTGAAGCCCGTGTCACTATGTAAAACCACGTCACAAAGCATAATTAGGTGTTTTTTGGTTAAACAAAAGGAATATTTTTTTTTTTATATAAAAGGATACCTTACGCACCTGCAACGGCCTAAAAATTTGGAAAAATGTACGTAGTCAATAATTATATACAGTAAAGTATTTGAAAACAGAGCAAATTATTTATTGATCAAGGATAAAATATATAAGAAAAAAATGTGCTTTTCCCCAATCGAGGCTTAAATCAAATGGGCCAATAAAAAGGCCCAACAAAGATAGAAGCTTAGTGACGAGCCTGCATGTGTATAAACTATATACCAATCTTCTTCTTTTTTTCCAGTGTTTATGACCATAACATATAGCATTTTAGTTTGTGATAATATCATCACAATGTCACCATCCGAGTGTAAACATGTATAATACATGTAGTTATTGAAAAAAAAATCTTAAGACATTACCAAAAGCATATATTATGGTTGGCCTAGCTAAACAATAATCACAATGTAACTTAAGAGTTGTATCAATTATACATATGATTATGTCAATACACTTCTTACATATCGACTAGGGGAAATAACATGCTAAACACCAAAAAAATTAGGAGAAGAACATGCACAAACTTGCTTTTCAATTTACTTTCTTCATTTTGAAAATTATAAACAGATGGAATTAAACTAGTCACTTTCACTCATAGAAAGGAGTTTTTATTTGAAAGAGATAGAATTAAAATAGTCACTTTCACTCATAAAAAGAAGTTTTTATTTGGCCCCTCTTAGCCTTTTGTTGATTGTGGCAGACTTTGTTGTATGGTGACTAAAAGAGTTCAAACTCGTGAAACACAAAGAAGAAAGTTTCATATCTCGGTGTGGAAAACTTGATAATGTATACATACAAAGTCGAATGGAAATTTAAAGGGAAAGGTTGAAAAGAAAAGGTGAAAAAGTTTACTTTCTCTCGTTTCTTTTGCTTTAAGGAAAGACCCAAACAGCTTGCATGCATTGGCCCCTTTACGGCTTTACGACGTACACCCGAGTTTTTTTTTCTTTTTCGATAGTATATTTTTTTTGTACGGAAGATTTCACGATTAACATTATTACAAAATTACAATCTTGTAACAATATTCATTTGTTTGTGACACTTTTCATAACTCCCGAAAAAAACATGATTTTACTCTTTATGTAATGATCATACAAAGAGGCAAGTGAATGACCATTTTCAATAATTACTAGACATATATAAAATATTAAGTTCGGTAAATGCAAACGAACGACGATCCCGAAGAGAAGCTAAAACACCTCAAGTATTTCTTATTTGGAATCGTTGAACGTAAACAAACAAATTAGAAAAAAAAATTGAATGAGATACGCATATATACTCCGTTACAAGGAATAACTCATAATCTTATTGCAAAAAAAAAAAAAAATTAATAACCGAGGGAATCTCAGGTTGGTTTCTTTAACAAAAATAATAATAATAATAATAATAATAATAATAATCTCACTCACATCAAAGACTGAAATTCCATTTGTATTTATTAATTAGTGAATAGGTATAGGGTACGGATCGGCCGACATTTCTAAGGTAAAGTACAATTATTGGGATTAGCCCTTTGACATCTGCAGACATGTTCTTCCTTACGAGAATTGAGTGGTTCCCAGTTATTACATATGCAACGAAGAAAGCGTTGTGTTTGGTTCTTGGAAAGCATTTCTTTGAAGCATTTCTTGTTTCCGTGAAAACCGCATTTTCCAGGGAATGGGATTTCATCCCAACACTCTGAGGGCTGATCTCCAGCTTCCACCCCTATTTTTTTATAAAAAAAAATTACCAACCAAAATCAATTGTTAATTACGGTGTAAATACAAAAAAAAAAATGTATAGTAATCCAACAATTTTAAGTTATGCCATGTTCTAGAACCATATTTATTAGTTATTGTTAACAATCAATAGAAAAATATTACTAATAAATTACCTTCAACATGGCTGAGAATGAAACATATGTAAACACAAGAAACTATAAACACAATACCACACCTCATGGTTCAAAAATTGATATAATGATTGTCTTTATTTCTGGAGAAACTTATGTCTGTCTTACTCAGATATTAAATAAATGTAAAGCTTTTTATTGTCTGCTGTTCCAAAAATAAAAAGCTTTTTATTGTCAACACTCGAATCGTAATATCTAATACTAACCACACAGTAATTTTTTTTTGGTAACCACAGTAATTGTTCCGACTAAATTTGAGAGAACGTAGCATCATGACGCAGCCAAGTCAAAAGGATCGGCGGAATCGGTATTCAGGTTTTAGAAAATTATTCTTAGTAAAATTCACTTTTTTCTCTTTTCGATTTTTCTGCTTTTTTCTTTATAATGTTTATTTTGTTTTGCTAATATTTTTTTGTGGTCAACCTTTTGTTGCATCAAATCCGGATTTTGAGGTTTCGGAAGAAAAACCATGCTTATGAGTTATGAGGTTTTGAAATTAAGATTATAATTTCAATCTCTGCAATGTTGGCGCTAACACATTTCCAACACAAAAGCAATGATTCAGCTATTTCATTATCATGCGCCAGATCTCCCCATCCCATAATTTTGTTAGGGTGAATTTTGATTTCGTTAGTTTTATGTAAATCTCGATTCTGACATTGGATGCAGTTGTAAAATCCACACTCTCCAATATTTTGCACACAGACACAGTTATGGTTTTACTTTGATAAATGCAATTTAATTTGAATTTTTAAATGATCAGCATTTGAACCTACTATATGCACTAGAGAGACCTAAACTATGATAAGCGCCCTCAAGCTTTACTTTTCTCGAACCGTTGCATACAAACAAACAAAAAAAGGAACGAGAAGATACCCAAACGCATATTTAGATTAACACAATTCCTTATCTGTCAGTGTAAACCACCAAGAAAGCTTTCGTGGGTTTCTTCTTATTTATCAGTGAAATACATTTCGGTATAGATTAGCTGAAATTTCTAAGACTGGAAACATTTGTTGGGATCGGTTACAAGCAATTGACATGAGCATATATGTTCTTTTTTGGGATCCGAAACCCCTAGTTGACATTCGCAGTTACGATAAGGCTTTCGTTCTTTAGCAACCATTTTCTTTAAGCATTCCTTGTTTCCGTTAACGCCACATTTTCCAGGGAACACAATCCCTTCCCAACACTCTGAGGGAGGAGGTGCTTTAGCTTCCATCTCTGTATTGTTAATTTTTTTTTTTTATCAACCACAATAAACTGTTAGGTCAATATAGATATTAATAAAACTTGGTAATATATACAATGGTTTTAACTGAAGCCATGTGATATAATATAACTGTCTTTCTTAGTTTTTACAACACCTCTTTTTATGTGTGATTCTTAACAATTCATGTTTTCAAGTGGTTCGAGTAACCAAAAAAAAAAAAACCAAAAGAAGATTGATATCTTACTTTCAACATGGTTCGCGATGAAAAGGATGAGAACACAAGAAGCCGTAATCAAAGCAGAACATTTCATGACTGATAGAGATTTCTCTATTACTTGGATGAATTTTATTGTTTGTATTACTCTCGTAATATAATTTGTTGTTGTCAACACTTGTAATAAATGTATTAACCACACAGTAATTAATCGTTCCGACTTAATTTGAGGAAAGAATAACACAAGGATGGAGCCAAGTCAACAGGATCAACGGAATCGGTCATCCATCTTTAGAAACATTAATCTTAGTAAATTCACTTTTAGACTTTTATTTACCTACAATTCTTAAATATTATTTTTGTTAATATTTGTTTTTTGGTCGACCACTCGACCAGAATTTCAAATATATGTCTTTATGTTGATAATGAAACAAAAATCTTGATTTTTTTTTTTTTTGGGGGGGGGGGGCTTATTAAAAAAATTTTACGATAAAAAAAAGTTGAAAGCCACAAATGTTTTGTTTCCCTACTAGCCAAATCATTTTACTGTAAATTTTCAGATATTCAAAGAAAATGGAAATTCATTACATTTGCCAAACTAATGTAGATCGGCATGCTCACCCAATAAACTTTTATTCATGATAATCTAATTTTATCAAGAAATGAGAAAATAATCCCCACCCTCCCACCAAAAATATTATTACAATTCGGAACTAATTAAATCACCAACAACAGAGAAACTATTTAGGAAGAGAAATATAGAGAATGGAAAAAAAGGATAATTAGTTAGGCGATAACTCAATCATCTTCTTTTGCTGATTCAAGTTCTTGTAAAACTTCTTTATAAACTCCTCCGCTGCTTTGTCAACGTGTCCGTTAGCCACGTCACCATCTTCTCGTAACGGAAACGGTGAGTCCGTCACACGTAAAGGCCTCACTAACGGAGTACTCCGTCCAAACCCCGGCAAGTAAGGAGATAACGCCGTCAAAGCCTCAACGGACAAAGCCGGCGTGTTACTGCCGCGTTCTTGATCTCCGACGCCGTTGAGAAGCTCCAGGACGGCTCTTGAAGCGGAGGTGTCGTCGTCGAGGGTCGGTGGCGCGTGACCACACGCGAAGAGACTAATGTGGTGACTCTTCTTCTTGAAGGCGGCCATGTTAAAGGGGAATGAGTAACTAGGAGTGTCGCTGCAGCTAAACTCGTATTCTTTTCGCGGCTGTGACGCGGCGGTGGCGGCTGGAACGCGGCGGCGGCTGTGGAACATGAGATTCTTGCCGCGTTTGAGGGTGGCGTTAAAGTCGGCGAGGAGCTTGTGCTTGGAAATGCCTTTGTGTAACATGTACAAGACAAAACGAACAATGTTCCATAGCTTCTTGCTCATTGGTATGTTCTTCTCCATCTTTAACTTAGAGAGAGAATGAGATTATTGTTTGTTTTATTTCGTTGGCCTTTGATATTTGCTTATGGACTAAGGATCAATGTGTGTGGGTTTACAAAGGGGAAAAAGAGAGAGAAAGATACTTTTCTACAAAGAAGTACTTAAACGTGGAACATTACACAAACATTTTTTAATTACTGTATGTTGTAGTTAAATAGCTTTAGGATTTCAAAAATACAAATAATGGAAAAGAAGAAGAAAAATTGAATTTCTTTTATCCACCTTTGTTGTACTTTAGATTGCACTATGTATTATAGCCATCTATATATGGATATTAGGTCATGCTTTTCCAATATAAAATAAATTGACATAGATACAAAACTTAACTAGTGTGGTTGTATAATGACTTGGCCTTCTACTATGATGGTATATACGCTTTACAACTGCATCTTTTTCACTTTAAATGGTTTTCCTTTTTTAAAAGGAATTGAATATAACACTACTAGATATATTATATAGCCCGTGGCTAGACCTTTTGTCTTTATACTTACTTTCTAGTTTGTCTTAAAAGTTTAAATCCTTCACCAGATAGTTACCATTGGTGTAACGATTACCACAAAGTTTACGCAAAGAAAAAGGTTTAAGTGTAAACTGAAAAAGAAATCCAAGTTTCAAAGAAAGGCAAATTCGACACAACTTTATGCAAATCTCAGCAATTATATGTTAACCAGTAAGTAAAATTAGCCAAGTTTTGTTTTAGGGTTATTCCTATCACAAGAAAATTTTGAAGTGAGATTACAGATGACTTAGGTTTATACGAGAAACATGATTGGCTGTATATGTATACCTACCTACACAATGAATCTAGAGATCCTCCTCCGTCTCCAACTCGTTTGGTACTATCAACCTCTCCATGCAAGCCTGTAGACACGATTAAGAGATTTCTATCAAATCAAAAACTGAAAACGTTACCACTCTCTTAACTCGCAAACCAAAATGGGACCATGATTGATGTTAGTCGAGCAAATATGGTGAAGGGGTCTAACCTTTATCTTGACAGTATCAGATGGAGTAGCGTTTAAATCCAAAGCAATGCCAAAATGTAACACGGCTTTGTCGTATAGCTCTAGCTGTTTGTAGACTTTGCCAAGCAACGCATGGACACTACTCTCTTCAGGAGCACTATCTTTGAGCTCTTGTAAAACTTTCAGTGCTTTGTGATAATCACCGAGGTTGGCCAATATGTTAGCCTTGTAGTACTTCGGGAGCGGATTCCTAGCATCAGTAAGTATAGCTTTCTCCATCATCTTCAACGCCTCATCGTTCCTCTGAAAAATAATACCTCAACCGTTAAATATTATCTTTGTCTTGTCTTTTTAAAATTTTTTTTTTTCTGACAAAGCTTAACTTCACAGCTAAATCAGAATATCACATAGTCATAGAGAGTAGTATATGGTATAAGTTTTGTCGTGAAGATCGTCTTTCAGGTTCCAAACCTTTGACTCATGCAAAGCAATCCCAGAGTAACACATGATAACTGAAGACCGTGGATTTATCCAGAGAGCCTGTTGAAACTGATGCTGCGCAAACTCATATTTCTCTTGATGAAGGTAGGCCATTCCAAGACCGTACCATGCATTATAGTGTCTTATATCTATGCTCAGTGCTCTCCTATAGCATCTCTCTGCATCCTCAAATTCTTCCAATGCAGCAAACCTGTGAAGCCAAGGTGAGACCGTATATTATCACTATACATGTTTGGTTACATGCAGAGTACGACAAACAATTAAAGACAGCCTAAGAAAAGAATAGTACTCGTGACCACAAAGAGTATGCGCATATGTGAATCTTTCATTCAGTTGGATAGCTCTCTGAAACATTTTGAGAGCAGTTTCATGATCCTTGCGCAAACTGTAGCAATTCCCAAGCGCACACCTGCGATGCACATTTCTAACACAGTCATTATAGAAAAAATCCAAGCCAAAAGAAAAAATTCTGCAGCTTCAGATTTTAAAATAACCGCGCTAAAAGCTGGTTTCTATTTAGGTTGGTGGGAAAAGCCTTTGGCCTGTGGGTTTCAGAGTCTGTACTCAGATATATGTGGGTTTATCATGTAGATTTCATGAAATGAAGTTTGAAGAGCATCTAGTTAATGAAGGATACCAGGTTTCTGGAGACAGGCGATCAACTGATATCAGCTCTTGAGCCAGATAGCCCAGCCTCATCTCTTGTTTCAGGTGCTTCAAAAACAACAACACGTTAAATGGTCAGAGGCAACATCATGGGATAATGTTCGAGGGTGGTTCATGATGATTAGCAGGAAAACTTGCAAATAATGACAATAGCTCACATAAAGAACAGTGGAGTACGTATCCATTCCTTCCAAAGCATAAGGAGACTTTTGATGAGCAAGAGTAAAGACAGAGTCAGCGTTGAAGTAGTCTTGTAGCTCAAAATATGCTTTTCCAACCTATGTAGAAAATGTATCTCATGTTTTTTTAGTTTCAGTGCCAAAAAACCAACAAAATTAAATTAAAAGAAAAAGTCAATGAATTACAATGCTTAGATTTCCATTGAAACACACAAAAACCAGTTATTGTACTCTTTTTTATATACCTGCAAGAGGACCCAGTGTGTATTGTATTGTTTCTCAGATAGATTTTGATATACCAACAAAGCTTCCTGCAGTAGTATCGAGTATTTGTCATATTGTTCGACATCAGTAGTTTAGATTTTAAGCAGAGATGCCAAGTTGAAGAATAATAACCACGTAGGTGCATTCTATTAACAAAGTACCTGACATTTGTACATAAGTAAATTCCTGTGGCCATCTCCAAGAAGTTTCAGAAGGTTTAGCACTTCTGAAATTCCAGAATTGAGGCTGCAAGGATCCGGGGAAGATCCACTAGGATTCGAATTGTCCTCATCATCAATAGAGCTTCCAATGTCACTTAAAGACTGACCTGACGTCGTTGCTGCATCATTTAGAGTAACGGTATCAGGGCACACATGTTAAAGTCTAATTGTCATGAAAATACTTTAGCCACCTAGATTATGATCATCACCAAAACCAGTTGATACTTTATAGCTCGGTTTAGAAGACAGGAAAGAAAAATATTAGAGGGAAAACATCACCTTCGTTGCTGCTTTGGATTCTGTATTTTCCAATCATCGAAGAAAGAGAAGGTACACAGTTTGGCTCGGAGGGTGAAAGATGTAACCAGTGGGAATCTTTTCCATATGACTGCAACATAGGTATCTTTCTCCTTGCTGCTATTCTAGCACTCCGGCGACACCTAGATTCTTCTGGAGCCTTCAAGATAGAAGATGGGGAAGTTAAAATATGACCAATAAATCAAGTAGCATTAGACTCTTATGCAAAGAAAACAAGGAAGAAAGCACTAAAGCTTATTGCAGGTATACAACCTCTGCTGACACTTCTTCACTAACAAACTTTCTTCGAGACTCTCCATGCACAGACATCAATCCTTCCACTGCTGGACGACGCATATTCTTATAGAGTATAGGTGGTGGAGCATCCAATACCTGAAAAATATAGATACTTAGAGACAAGAAGGAGGTAAGAAACTTCTCATTACCTCATGGAGGTAATTACAGTACTGAAATTCAGAAAACTGAGCATTTTAAGCTAGAAACAGTAACTAATACGTTCTCAAGCTAGCTAGAAATAAAGATAGCACCTGTGAAAGCACTGGAGAAGGCGTATTCAAGTCCCATCCATTTGAATGAGAACTACTGTTACGTTGCTTGTCAGTATCTGGCGGAATGTCTGGTCCAAGCTGCTTAATTTTCAGATCTTGTTGGTTCTCTCCTGGAACGTGTTCTGTTTGCCCCAAACTTGCATCTTTAGAGGCCTTATCAGAATCTGTAAGCTGGTCTATAGTTTCTCCTTCTGAAAAGTTTATCCTTTGTGAGACACAAGCTTTCTGAAGACGCTGGGCAGCGACATTGCCAAAAACCGTAGAGGCTTCTTCAGCGGCACCTGAAAAGGCGATGGCAGATCACCATATAAGAGAAATAAATCTGTTATCCCAGGTTTCCGGCTGGAATAACCGAAACATAAACTGATAAATACGTAACTCGTACAGAGCTTTCACTTACCTAAACTACAAAGTTCTCCATATGCTTCCCAACACAATGGATCTAATGACAATGCCATCCTAAACTGTTGTATTGAAGTGTTCTTCCTCCCAGCATATCTGGTAGCATGTAACAGAGACTAACACACATCAGAAGGTAATACCATCAGCATTAGCATTTGTTGTTATTCTCTCTTTGGCAATTTGTACTATGTTTTCAGTTTTGAAGCGCACATAGGCTAAAAACTAATGGAGCATAGTAAAGTTTTTGCATTGCAGTAAGAAATGCAGCAAATTCGTAAGCTTGTGTACAGCATCAATATACCAAGACAGAGAAGTACTAAACATTAATCTCATATAGAACTCGAAAAGTAAATAGCCGTCACCTATATATGAGACCAAGAAGATAATGCCCAGCTGCACCTCCCGGAACCTGCATGTTAAAAATACAGTGGACAGCACTTGTCAATCTTCACTCCCAAAAGACTGTAATATCATTTCCATGGAAAAGTCTACGGAGGTTCCTCAAAGTTTTAGATTGGAGAAGAGGTGTACAGTGCCCATAGATATGGAGAAATTTAATAAGAGAAGTAGAAAAAGAAATGCCATATACTTCTTCAACATATTCTTCAGTGGGCAACAATGCGGCTTCAGCTTCTCCAAGAAGATCCAACTTGAAGCATGAGAATGCAAACAAATACCGAGACTGAGGCATTTTTGAGCCTTGTATTTACAACGATTAAAACAGATGTTAAGAAGATAAAACAATATATGAAATGTTGCAAAAATATAGCACAAGATGGAAGAATGTAGCTACCTTTCAGGATATAATAAGCACTATAAGCTTGACTATTACTCAAGTAACACCTAGCTAACAATTGCAGGTTCACCTGCATAAATGAAGGTGTTGAAAGACAAGGGAAGTGAAATTCGAGTCGTTCGAATGCACATTAGAAAAGACAAGGGAAGTGAAATTACATCAAACAAAATCTCAAGTTGGCTAAGCTTATTGTCGGAAGAAATTCACAAAATCAATCCGGAATCATAAGAATTTTAGTCGAATTGAATTGTAATCATCCCGAGAAATCTTAATTTTAATCTTAATATGGAGACAGAAAACCATGTGATCAATTGGGAATCGAAAAAGAAGGAAACAGAAAACCGAAACTGGGATTACCTCAGAGGGGAATTCGGCGAGAAGACGCTCGCAAAGGAAGATGGCGTTGGTGAGCATGAATTGGCTAAGGTTTCTCTCGACACAATTCACCAGTAAGTTCTCCATCTGATGATGACGAAATTGCGACGAGAAGAAAGCAAGTGACAGAAAAGAAATGGATTTGTCTGTGTCCTTGTGGGTCGTGTGTGTGTAATGTTGTCGCGTAGCAGCAAATCGCGCGCCGCTAAGGTATTTCAAAAGCCTGACATTCTCACGCGAGGGGCGTGTCAGTTTTGTGACCGCGTTTGGCGTTTACCTGTAAGGAAAAGTCGCGTTTCAAATAGATGTGAGCTTTTCCCGGTTTTGTTCACGAACCAAATAGCAATATGAATGAAGAAACCGGAAAAAATGAACCACGACGGGACAAGGAAGAAACTGGCGTACGAAAGACGCAGTTCTCTGTTTTATACCGTTTGTGTAGCAAACGCGGCAATTCTCTCTTCTATATATAGCCCAAAACGATGAGGTTTTCAGGTCAATGGATTTATCATTTATGTGAAGTCATCATGCTGGTCATTTATACATTGTCACAAAACCAAAAATTAACATCTCTCTAGGAAGAAGAAAATCACGAAATTAGCTTACTACCATTTTAAGTTTTCCATTCATGATGGATTAAGGATTTTGCTTGGTTTATCCTAAAGGCCAACATTTTTTTTTGTTGTTTCTTCCCAAAAGAAAACTGCTGGGCCTTTTACTTTCATCTAGGAGCCCATAGGATGCAGCGGCTTTTGTTTTAAAAGCGAGGTTACTTTCGTCACTTCGTAAGGCTCTTGAATTTTTTGTAATTTTTTTTTGCGTTTTCAGATTCTAGGTTCTAGGGTTTTATTCCCTTCCCTCCGCTCCCTGAGCTTGAGCTGAGCTTTTCCGGGATTTCTAAAGCGGAAAATTGAACACCTCCATTTGCATCTTCAGGTTTTGCTTTCTCTCTCTTTATCGATCCCTCCAATAGTATGGTTAATCTTATTTGCTTATGGTTTTCGATGATTTACGTGAATCTTAATTGAAATCCAGTCGATAACTTTAGAATTCGCTAGAACTTGTTCATTTATCTGAGAAAGAGAGAGCAAACGATTGCTGCTCTGGAATCCTTGTATAAGCTTAGATTAATAACTTTGAATCGCTAGATTCGTCTATTTCGAGACGAGTGTTGCTTTCTTTAGTGTCACTTTCTATATCTAAAAAAATTCCTGCTTTAACTTGGGAAATATTGATCTTGCCTTGTGGATTAGTGTTTCTCCGAGTTGATGATGCTGATGAACTTTCTTCTGTAAATGTGCTTGCCTTGCAGGGAGATAACTCTTTTGAGTAGAAATGAGTGCTACAGCTCACAGGACTCCTAAAACAGGGAGGCAATCTCTTCTCTTTCAAGATCTAGCTTCTCCTGTTTCAGCACGCAGAGGGAAATTCTCGAGCCCTGGCCAAGCAGCTGCGGTTTCTGCACTATGGCGTGAAAATTTCGGAGGATCGGATCTGCCACCACCTCCAATGTATACATTAGATGACCGGTCTGATTTCTCTCCTGAGTCGGGCATTGCAGACTACTCGGTGTCTCCAGATGTCAAGTCTGACAGAAGAACGCCTTTCCAGAGCTCTGGAAAAAACGTTGTAACTCCTGGTAAAGGGAAGTTAGAAGCAAGCACGTCTTTTTCTCTACTGAGTGCACAACAGAGTAGTCAGCAAGTTTCAGGGAGTCCAAGTTGGTGGTCGCAGTCAAAGGCGGGTAGTAGTAGTACTGAGCAGGATGATAAAGGGAATGGATCTCCTGTAGAAGGAGTGATTCAGCCAGGTGCATTGGTTACTCTTCCTCCGCCGAGAGAAGTTGCTAGGCCAGAGGTTCAGAGGCAGGTTATACCCACAGGAAACCTTGAAGAGGAAGAGTGGGTCACTGTCTATGGGTAAGCCCATTTGTTCCTCTTTATTTTTTCAAAGTTCTTACATCGTTTATTTATGAAGTGCCTGATCTCGTGTCTGTTTCCCACGTCTTATTTCTTAGAGAACTGTTCTTATTTACGCTCTTTGTTTGTCAACAGTCATGTGTCTATGAAGTTCTAGGTGCACCATGTACTCAAATTATGCTTATCATACTCAAATATGGCTCACCCTTTGGTTGTGATAATAGTTTTGAGAATTCTGACTCGTTCCATGGATAAATTCTAGGTGCCTTGTCTTGTTTATGTTTTTTCGATCTTAAGAACTGATCAGAGTAACTGCTTTCAGATTCTCTCCAGGTGACACAAATTTGGTACTACGAGAGTTTGAAAAGTGCGGTATGATCTTGAAACATATTCCTGGTCCAAGGAATGCCAATTGGATGCACATCCTCTACCAGGTTATTTTTCTCCCCACTACAAACTCGTTTGATGCATGATTATAAGCATTCTTAATTCTACTAGACGAATCTTGTGAGTGAATCAAACTACAAAGCTGAAGAATGTTCTCTGTATTTGATGCAGAATCGGTCTGATGCACAGAAGGCGCTGAACAAAGCTGGGATGATGATAAACGGAGTGGTAATAGTAGGAGTAAAGCCAGTAGACCCGATACAGAGGCAAGCGTTAAACGAAAGACTCAACAACCAAGGATTCATGCCTTTACCTCCACCATCAACCACTAGGGACTCTGAGTTTAATACAGCGAAGGCCTCTTCTCGTCCTCACTACTTGCAAAACGGAAGCGCTTTCTCACCTCAACCAAGTGGTGGCGCCATGGCCACTCCATCAAAGTCGATGGTCTCAAAATTCTTTGACTTGATGTTCGGCGTTTAAAGCTTCTTCGAAATTAGCATTCCCCGAGTGGTTCTTCTATACACAAGATAATGTGAAGTTTTGTGAGCAAGAGTGGGTTAAGTAAATTCAGATTGTGATCAAAATTTAAATTGTAAGAGGTGTTTCCAAATTGTCTTTTGTATTGACTGTTGACTAAAATTGGTATAAATCTGATTATAAAAGATATCACATTGGCTACAGGATAAAGCTGAGTTATCTTCCCATTTCCTCGATCAGGGTCTTAATTATCCTTAAGATTTTGTTAGTTTTACAAGTATTTAACTAATGAATTAATATTTTTTAGCTGATTATCACTATTTTTATGTAATTGAATTATAGTAGAGTGATTCTTCTATACACAGAATAGTTTGAAGTTTGTGAGCTAGAGTGTGGCTTTTAAGTCAGTTTTTAGATCGTAATCAAAATTAACATTGTCTTTTGTATGACTATTGACTTAATTATCCTTAAGATCTTGTTAAAGTGATAAGTATAGTATTTAACTAATTAATTAATATTTAATAATTATCTGTAACCGACTAACAGCTCATGTAATTGAATAATAATAATACTAGAGTGATTCCTCTATACACAGAATAGATTGAAGTTTGTGAGCTAGAGTGGCTTTTAAAGAGGCGTTTCCAAATTGTCTTTTGTAGCTTGTATTGAATATTGACTATATACATACTAAAAAAATCTGATTTTTATATATAAAAATCTCGTCTTTTAGCAGTAATATTTATTTTTAATTGTCATCTTTGTTTGTACGTGAGCAGAGGTCGTGCCTCGTGCAGAACAAATACTATTACGAATGCTTTTGAAATACACTGATTACATGGAACCTAAAGAGGCCTCACGGGAAGTGTTTTGAACCTCTTACTAGAAACTATCTAAAAGCCTCGCGTCTGGCATGTGTGTTTGTTTATAAATTGCCTCTTTAGGCTCTCGCGTTACTTTCATTCTGCAAAATTTGACACACAGTTAATGGCGAATGGAACAGAGCAGAAACAAAACTCTCAAACCATACTAGAGACGAAGCTTGATATCCGCGATGTGGTCACCACAGCCACCACTTACGGTGAGGATAACCGTCACGGAGGGAGACGCAACGACGTGGCAATGGTTGTGTTAAGAGCCATGTGCATGGCTGCATCGGCGGTGGCTGTGTCGTTGATGCTGACAGCCCGTGAGACTAGCATGACCACTCTCTACGGCTTCGAGTTTCAGCTCCACGCCGTTTGGTCTCTCTCAGATTCCCTAATGTAAGCCAATTTCATATTCACACAACAACACAATCATATATAGTATCATACATAAAAACGGATCACGAGTAAACGTTTTACAGATATCTAGTGGTGGTTTCGTCGGCGACGGGTCTTTACTCGTTGCTCCAACTGGTTATAAGTGGAACCAGGTTGATGAGAAAATCTCCGGTGATTCCGACAAGAACACAAGCATGGTTTTGCCTCGTTGCAGATCAGATGTCGGGATATGCGATGGTGAGTGGAGGATCCGCAGCTTTAGGAGTGACGAATATTAACAGAACAGGAATCAGACACATGCCTCTTCCTAATTTCTGCAAATCTCTCGGTTTGTTTTGTGACCATCTCGCTGTCTCCGTCGTATTCGCCTTGCTCGCGTTTCTCCTCCTCGCCGCGTCCTCTGTTCTCGACGTTCTCCGTCTCTCACGCGACCGCTGAAATGATAATTACTGTTTTAGCCTTTTGTGCTTTTTTTTTGGTTTTCCTACGTCTCATGTTTGTTGTTATGGGTGATTTTTGGGATTTGTTTGTTTCAATCGATGTCACAGCGAATCTTCGAATTCCAAAGTTTTGAATTTTGTTGACCGAGTTCCATATAAACGACAAAAAAAAATGCTTCAAAATAAAGCCTTTAAAACATTCAAAAGCACCCGCGAAAAAAAGTTGAGTGACAGATTTCCGCTTATTCGTGAACGCCTTTTTTTGCGTCGTTATAAACGCTGCATTTATTTGAACGTTTAGGTTGGGAGCTAAATGGGCCTGAATTACTTTTTTGGGCTTTAAAAGTTGATTGAAGCAATAAGCTTTTAGTTTAATATCATCACTTTGTTCTGTGTTCGGCTTCTTCTATCCCTTGGCCTGGGAAATGAGGCTAGACGACTACACGAAGCTCTTTTCTGCGTTTTAATGGCGCTCAATCTCTCTCGTTGCGCTTCGATTATTGCAATTCACTTCTTCATGTAAGTGGAATTCATCTTTACTTTGATCGAATTACATCATGGCTTGTCGTTTCCCTCTGCATTCGTCGCCACACTCTCAATTCCTTTCTCCGGAGAACCGTCCAAGAATCCTGAGATTTCCCAGAAATTACCCCTCAATTTCATGCCAAAACATTTCAGCTACGAAGGATGTTCACGATGAAGACGGTGATAACGAAAAAGCCAAGGCAAACCAAGTCAATCTTCTCGCCATACCCATTACACTCACTGTGATATCCGCTTCTCTTGCCCAACCGTCGCTTGCTGCGGCGGCGACGAAGGTATCCGAGAGAAAGAAAACCCAGAAGAAACCTCAGGAAGCTTTGACACTTGAACAGCTAAAAGCTTGGTCCAAAGATCTACCTGTAGTTTCGAAACGTATACCTTATACCGACATTTTGAGCTTAAAGGATGAAGGTAAGCTTAAGCATGTAATAAAGCCTTCAGGTTTAAGTTTGCGGCAAAAAGCAGAGCCTGTGTTAGTAGTTTTGGAGGATTCTCAGGTACTGAGGACTGTGTTGCCTTCTCTAGAGGGTAATAAGAGGTTTTGGGAACAATGGGATGAGTTAGGGATCGATGTAGCGTGTGTTAATGCATATACTCCTCCGGTTAAGAAGCCACCTGTGCCGACTCCTTATTTAGGGTTCTTATGGAAAGTTCCTTCTTATATGTTAACATGGGTTAAGCCAAAGAAGGAGTCGAGACGTGCTGCTGAATTGAAGAGAATGAGGGAGGATTTCAAGAGGCAGAGGAAGGAGGAGATGGAGAGGATGAAAGAGGAAAGGGAGATGATGGAAAAGACAATGAAGGCGCAGAAGAAACAGCAGGAGAGGAAGAAAAGGAAGGCGCTTAGGAAGAAGAAATATGATGAGTCTTTACGTGAGGCGAGGAGGAATTACCGAGATATGGCGGATATGTGGGCAAGATTGGCTCAGGATTCTAATGTGGCTACGGCTCTTGGATTAGTGTTTTTTTATATATTCTATCGTGTAGTGGTGCTCAACTACAGGAAGCAAAAGAAGGACTATGAAGACAGGTTGAAGATTGAGAAGGCGGAAGCAGATGAGAGGAAGAAAATGAGAGAGTTGGAGAGGGAGATGGAGGGGATTGAGGAAGTTGATGAGGAGCTTGAGGAAGGAACGGGTGAGAAAAATCCATACTTACAGATGGCGATGCAGTTCATGAAGTCAGGCGCACGAGTGAGAAGAGCATCGAATAGGAGGCTACCTGAGTATCTGGAGAGGGGTGTGGATGTGAAATTTACAGATGTTGCTGGGCTTGGGAAGATTCGCCTTGAACTCGAGGAAATCGTCAAGTTTTTCACTCATGGAGAGATGTACCGCAGGAGAGGAGTTAAGATTCCAGGTTGGATGTTGTGACATCTTCTGCTCACCATGTTATTGGTTATAAAGTTATGTAACCTATGAAATTCTGCTGTTTGATCATCTCTTTTTATTTTGTTTTCCTTCAGGTGGTATTCTTTTATGTGGGCCTCCTGGGGTGGGAAAAACTTTACTGGCAAAAGCTGTAGCTGGTGAAGCAGGAGTGAATTTCTTCTCTATCTCTGCGTCTCAGTTTGTGGAAATATATGTTGGTGTCGGTGCATCTCGTGTTCGAGCATTGTACCAGGAAGCTAGAGACAATGTACGTTTGAAACTTTACTTATATGCGTCGAGCGTGGAACGTGATTCTCACTTTCAGATGCATTTTAATATCATTGAAGCAATACCTCTTGGCTGCTTTTCTGATGATTATAATTGCTTAATGAGGATTCAGTCTATTACTGTATGCTAATTTTAAGCTGGTCTCACTGCAGGCTCCATCTGTGGTCTTCATTGATGAATTGGATGCTGTTGGAAGGGAGCGTGGGTTAATAAAGGGATCTGGAGGACAAGAAAGGGATGCTACCCTTAATCAGGTTCAAGACATTTCAAAATCGTGCAATTGTCTTCTTTGTTTTCTAACTGAATGATCATTGTATTGATTTTTTTGTGTGATACAGCTCCTTGTTTCGCTAGATGGTTTTGAAGGAAGAGGAGAGGTCATTACCATCGCTTCCACAAACAGGCCAGACATTCTAGACCCTGCACTTGTGAGGCCTGGAAGGTTCGATCGTAAAATTTTTATCCCTAAACCTGGTCTTATTGGGCGAATGGAGATTCTGCAGGTACTGGTTTTGAGTCTGCATAGAAGTACCCTTAAACTTGGAATTTTGTGGAAAACTAGAGTTTTCGTTTGTCCTTGGGTTCAAAGTTGTATCTTTCTTTTGGTTTTGCTGCTTAGGTTCATGCTCGTAAGAAGCCAATGGCTGAAGATTTGGATTATATGGCAGTTGCTAGCATGACAGATGGTATGGTTGGAGCAGAGCTTGCTAATATAGTTGAGATAGCGGCAATAAATATGATGCGTGATGGAAGGACAGAGGTAGGATATGTATTTTAAGTCCGAATTACATATTATATGTCACATCTCTTGAATTGGATTAAGCGCTTTTCTAGTTTTCGATACTAGCAAGTAAAAGTCTGAGGAATGTTTTCTGTGACTCTAATGCAGTTAACAACAGATGATTTACTTCAAGCTGCACAAATAGAAGAAAGAGGAATGTTAGATAGAAAAGATCGGAGCTCTGAGACATGGCGACAAGTTGCTATAAACGAGGCTGCTATGGCTGTTGTGGCAGTGAACTTTCCTGATCTGAAGAATATAGAATTTGTAGGTTTCTGAAATCTTTTATCCTTCAAACTCCATTTCTAGATTTGAAGCTTCTCTTTGACTGACATTTCAATGACTTTGACCAGCTGACAATCAACCCTAGAGCTGGTAGAGAATTGGGTTATGTCCGGGTAAAGATGGATCATATCAAATTTAAGGAAGGCATGCTTAGGTTTGTGGCTTTAATCACACATATTTGCTTTCTTGATTACTCGGGTTCTTTACATATATCGTGGACTACTATATGCAGCCGACAATCCCTCTTGGATCACATAACTGTTCAGCTAGCACCTCGGGCTGCAGATGAACTATGGTACGGTGAGGATCAGGTGAGTAATATGATCTCCTTTAAACCCCATGACACAGTATCAGAAAACACATAGATATGATCTATGATTTTACTATTTTCTCCAAATAGTGCTTTTTTTAGTTACTAATCTTAGCTTGTGGTTTGTTCCAGTTAAGTACGATATGGGCTGAAACATCGGATAATGCAAGGTCAGCTGCTAGATCTTTGGTTCTTGGTGGTCTTTCTGAGAAGCATCATGGCTTGAATAACTTCTGGGTAGCTGATCGAATTAACGTAAGGCCATATCTTGAATTATCTTTAACTTTAAATTTCAGAAACAAATACCGTCTTCTAATACTTCGATTTGCAGGATATTGATATGGAGGCGTTGCGGATATTGAACATGTGTTACGAGCGTGCTAAAGAGGTAAATAGATTTCTGAATCGACTAAATCTGTATCATATTATCATCTCCTTTACATTGGTTATGTTAACATTTGATTCGCAACCGCATGCACCAGATTCTTCAAAGGAACCGGACGCTCATGGACGAGGTGGTAGAGAAACTGGTTCAGAAGAAAAGTCTTTCGAAACAAGAATTCTTCACTCTTGTTGAGCTCTATGGCTCCATTAAACCAGTGCCACCAAGCATCCTTGAACTCAGGAAAATCAAACGGCTCCAGCTCGAAGAGACCGTGATGAAACTGGACATGACTACCGCAAGAAACAGTTGATAAGATGATATTGTTTTGGAGAAGAGAGACAGTTCGTTGCAAACGTAGAGATATAATCAAAAGACGCAATGAGCTTGAATTTTATGTCTCCTCTGTACTCTTAGTGTCTGTAATCTTAGTGACTGTTAGATCATTCTTTAAGCTTCTAAAGTAATCCTTCTTTTATCCATATTGGAATTAAATTGTTTCACATATCTTGAAATAAAAGAAAATAGTTGATGAATCTTTCTGACATGTGACATGAATCAGTTATGTACAGAGTGAGGATATTAATTGCAAAAAAATGAAAAATGAAAAACAAAAGGATTGAGAAATTGAAAAATGGAACATACAAATGTATGAATTATTGGGTATCTTTTTAGGTGAAATTGCAAATTGATAATCAAATCAAGAGTCTTAGCCAGGTTGGTCGATTTTCATTACAAAAGAACCAAGTAGATTAATATTTGACTTACATTTGACATTTGACTTACAAGATTCGACAACTATCTGATATTTACACATTACCAAATTATTTACTTAACCTCCTCATTAGTAATTGGCCACCTTAATGCTTAATCTCTCTATCCATTATTGAGCCCACCCGACTCATTTATTATACTACTTAAAATCGGATACCCAACCGATATTTATTGTATTATTGAAAACATAAAGTACGTATAGTTCACTTCATTGGTCAATAATTAATTATTACATACATTTTTTCAATATTTTTTTAGGATATTCTATATTCTCTGTAAATAGTATCCACACGCTTCCGTTGGGTTCTTCTTCTTTTTTTAACGTCATTCTTGTCTCATATCAAGTGTCCAAGATTATTTATCTTCTTATATAACGGTAAAATTTATTGAATTCGTCAAAAGAAATCGACAAAAAAAAAAGAGTCCACAACGGTAGTATTTGACTCCTATGTAATCTGTTGTTCGTTCCCACTTTGCACGCCACCACCTTATTCTTAATCTCAGTTTAAAATAAACACGCTTTAATACTTATAATATTAAGAAATAAATAACAACACTCGTGTTTAAGAAGACATATACCACGTAACAATTTAAAATGAAGAGATGTGAATACGGAATTCGAAACATAATTCCACCATTTTATGAAAATCCAAGTGCTTTTTTTGTTTGAAATGTTAATTTCTTTATAATTAACGATCGTGTCACTGATTTGACAAAAAAAATAATAGATTCCAATATGAATATTAATAAAAAATACACCCGCGACCAAAATCAAAAGAACCACTACTATCCGTGATAGTGTTGTGGTTGTAATTTTGTTTTGTTGGTTGAGATGAGACAAAGGAACGGAATAATATCCACAGTGATTACATATTAGTCATTTTGAATGTTTCTAATAGCTAAAAATTTACTTTTTACAAACATCAGAACTAGTATTGGTATGTATTTTTGGTTTAGAATTATTTGATTATGAAAAATATATTGGACGGCTAGACACTTAAACCTCTTCATCGGAGTAATTTTAGCGTGTTCAGTAATGCATTCTCGTATACAATTAACTATTAAAAACATATAGAGTAATTGCCGACCAAAAATCTTACAGTCACCTAACTATAATATAAATTTCTTGCATCTGGAATCTTATCAAAAAGTGAAAACGATATGGTGGATAATAAACTTCAATCTTGTAAATTGGAAGGTAATTTAAAAAAATAAAGTAAGCTAAAGAACATTTTTTTAAAAAAAAAATTCGAACTCTTTTCTTCATAATAATTATAAAATTGTAAAGTATCTTATATGAACCCAAACGGCCATTGACTGTTGAGTAAAAACAAAGAATATTGACTCTTTTAGAAATTATACGTTATAGAGCTCAGAAGAATAAAAGAACATTTTTGTTTGTCAATTCACAAACAGAAGAACATTGCGTAACGATAGTTTCCATTTCCAAGTTACAATACTTGTATGCTTATGTATATATCTATATATAAATTATGTTACAATAATTGTATACTAGCCTTGGTACCGTATGTTACAGCTGACAACATACTACCAGTCTACCACTACGTACACATGTACGTCTACACTACGTATAAAAAACTACGTATAAAAAAACTACCCCGTACAGATAGAAGCAACACAAATGCTATCCATGACAGCAATTAATAAATTAAACTTAATTAGTGATTAATCAGTTCCGTGTGAGGAAAACTCCATAACTCCAAGAAATCAAACTCCAAGATCTCTTCATAAAAATCCATGGCCGGAGGAGGAGGAGGATACATCCAACAATCGAACGGCTCAGAATAAGACAGATCAGCGCGTGACGTCACGCTCTCATCGTAGCTATCCTCAATGTTAGGCAACTCCACAATCTTCTCCAACCTCTCCTCCTCTGACTCCGCCGCCAAGTAAGATGATTCCGATGACGGTGCTGCCTCCTCCACCTCCGGCTCTGACATTTTCCCGTCGACAACCATAGCTGCGGCTTCTGCGGCGGCTGCTTGGATATCCTGCGGTGAAGATGACGCCGGACGAGGGAGAACAGAGGCCAGCTCCGGGAAGTTGATGACGGCGGAGGAGCCTTTGATGGTGAGAGCAGCGACGTCGTGAGCACGAGCCGCCATGTCTGCGGTGGCGAAAGTGCCGAGCCAAATCCGAGTCTTTTTACGAGGCTGTCGGATCTCAGAGACCCATTTGCCCCAACTTCTCATCCGTACACCTCTGTAAACAGGATGCTTAGAACAAGAAGAGGAAGAAGATGAAGATGAGACTCTTCTTCTCTTTCTTGTGTTTTTTCTGGGTGAAGTTTCAGACAAGTGGGTGCTTGTTGTTGTAGTTACATCAGATTGGTCCGATGACGATGATGTTGGTGATGGACTGTTTGGTGACGTCATCTTTTGTACTCAGTTTTAGAGAGAGACTAGTTTACTTTGTGTGTGTGGATGTGAGAGATGTATTTATAGACTGCACACATGATGTTCAATTCCGAGGTTTTTTTTTTGGGTTGATATTGTACATAAAAATTCTTAACACGTTTTCTGGTATTTTGGATCTGAGAATAATTAACAATTATTATAACGGTACATATAAAGCGAAATAAATAAACTAATGATATCACCAAAGATTTTTTTTTTTCATGTTATATTCAAACTTAGTACAATCAAACATAATTAGTTTTCTTTTTGTTTGAAAGGAAAACCAAGTATAAATGTATTACTTGTGTTTTGTTAATCATGCAGATACAAATGCGAGTATATATGGTAATTTTGATTTGATTAGAGACTATTTCAGACTGTTCTTATTTTTTTAAGACTATTCCGTTTCTTTTGTTTTTTGTCAACAAGTAGACTACATATTTCTTATCTAGTCTTATTTGTAAGGTTTATTTTGGTGGAAAAGTGTCAAACTATCAAAGAAAATAAGATACAATATTTGACTAATGAAATTAGACGCTCCATTTTCAGTGACACTTAGCCTACCCATCTTTCAATTACCACAAAGTTATCCATTAAAAAAAAAAGGCAGTAAAAAATCCGCAACTATTAATAGTTAACATTAATTTGATTCGTTTTATTTTATCAAAACTATTTAGGAATATAACGAGTTTAAATTTAAAGGGGATTTTGCCAACAAAGAAAAGAAAACACAAAAGATTCACAGAATCTAAAAAGTTAGAGACGCAAAAGAAAAAAATTCACAGAAGAGAACGTTTCTAACTTTGTAATCATCATCTTAAATGCTTCGTTTCCTATTTGAGAGAGACGAGAATCTAAAGTTACTCACGTGTGTCACTATCAATCTTCCCGTTGAGGTATTTTTATTACTCATTTTTGTATATACACAAATCAAAACATCTAAATATATATTAGATTTAAATTTTGAGGACGTCAATTCATCATTTCCACTACCATAAAAAAATACAAAAAGTAACTTTCAACCATTTAAAAAATCTTTTTCTATCTTTACCGTTGGTAGAATAAAGATCATCATAAAAGATGCACTCCTATCAAACTTCAGGTAAAAATAAAAAGAACTTACAAATACAACACTGGGACCAATTGATGTATTCTAAACTTTCAATAAACATGTAAGCCAAATTAAATGAACAAATGAGCATAACAGGCAAAACTGAAATTATGGACAGTGCCTACTTTCCCAAAAGGAAGGCCTAAACGTGTGAGAATATCTACAAGTTGGAGAATGATTAAACCGGACATCACCAAAAATCTTAACTTAGATATTAGGAGGAAGGAGGCTACTAGAAGAAAAATTGCTTTTTCCACCCACAAAATTTTCGACTGAACAAAGAAAAAAAAAACTGGATATGACTTAAAACTATGCTCATAATGCTTTATAACAGTATGTTCCAAGAGAAACGGAGAATGCCAATGGAAAGGTCTCTTTTTTCCTTGGTTTTATTTCCTTTCTTGTCTATTTTCGATACACAGACACAGTCTCTTCAGATATATATAGCAAATGAACAAAAGAAACACTTTTATAATCAAACAGGTGAAACAAAAGTAATTCTAAAACTACATGTTTATTCCAAAGAACAATGACTCCAAACAAGAGAAAACGAAGACAAAACAAAGGAAGCGAAAAGAGAAGCCAAAAGCTTACCATATATGACTCAGATCAATCAGACTCTCTTTTTCTTTTTCCGGATGAAGTAAAAGCTCAACATCTTCATCTTATCCTGAAGTCTAGTCTTTTACAGCTCTTATAGATAAACGTTTTAGCTTTCTCCCCTTTGTATCCATATCTCATGAAATAAGTTTAATTAACACCGGATATTAGCAAGCATCAAGATACTCTCTTTGTGTCGCGGGCTGATGCAAGATGATCCTGCACAACGAGAACATATATGTTGTTGCTGTATCAGTATATGTAAATCAGACAAAGATTTGTATCCGTGCCAAAAAATTAGACCTGGCTTGACTATGTTTTAAGCCTAAGTAGGTGGTTGTAAAGAAGATTACGAGCTAGCTATTATGGGCGAGACTGATGTTTGCACAAAGACAAATACACCAAAATGTATAATAGCAGGAGCAAGATTCCAAAACTTACAGAGATGAAATCAAAGGCTCTGGTATCTTCTTTTTTCGCACCATTCATTGTTGAGGTTGGAGCCTGATTAGCAAAACTTGGCTGGAATATATCAGGGAGTGCTGACTGATTTCCTCCGCTAGTACCCACAGGAAGAACATTTCCGGTACCCTGAGCGTTCACGTTGCCAAACTGCTGGAAGTTGGATATATTACCAAGGTATTGCTGCTGAGCTAACAAGCTTGCCATGGCAGCGTAATTCATAGGTTGAGATGCAAAAGCTGGGTTCATCAACATCCCCGGAGGAAAATTGAAGGACATGCCACCCCCAGGAACCATTGGATTTGGAATAAACCCAGAACTTTGTGAACCAAGAATGCCTCCAACGGGATTTTCCGGTGCTTGGTGGGTGGTGGTGCTCGGCATTGCAAATAAATTATCTGGAAGGGTGCTTGAAGATGAGCTTTTCTGATTTGAGCTGTTTTCGTCAATGGAGAAGCTTGCCATCAAGTCATTTATGTTTTTCGAATCCTTTGGCTCTGCTTCAAGTTTTGCAGTTGACCCAAACATATCAAATAGCTCAGGCACGTGATTACCACCTGCACCGGGCTTTTCCCCGACATTCATTCCAATGAACAGGTCATCTGAACTTTCTTTTTCTTCATTAGGATGAAATGATACGTCTGCAAAAGGGTCATCATCATTATTCTTCTCGCTGCTACTCAATCCAGTGTCAGCGCTATCCCCAAACCAATCAGCATCCATCAGTGGAGCTGCTGTCGCCTCTGTACTGCTAGTATTAATAGCATTTGGCATGTTCAAAGTATCTTCTGTTGTATATTCTGAATCACCGGTGTCGATCAAGTCAGGTAAATCAACAACAGTCTCTCGCTTCACAGTATTCTCTGAGCTGCTCATCAACCCACTTGATTGTCCACCGTTTATAAGACTCAGAACCTACACAAAGCCACTATCTTCAGTTAAACCATCAAATGATCATAGTGCCGAAAACTAGAGCTTCATAATATTACAGCAAGCAGAATCCTACCTTGTTAGCCTTTTCACGAAGGGAAGATTGAGGAGACTCTGCGCATCGCTGTATGACATCCGTGTTTTCACTAAAATAAGTATGTACAATTGAAAAACTATCATCTTCCTTCTTCCTCAATATGGCCTCAAGGACACATAAAGCTTTCATCCGAACCTGCCAAATGAAACCACAGTGTCTTTAAAAATACAAAAGTGGGAAGATTCTCAAATGCAGGAGAAGAAACAAGCCAGGGAAGGAATATACAAGTAATATAATCAATAAAAAAAGTAACATTCGAATCAAACAGTTTCACAAGGAGGTGACACGGAAATTATCGTAAACATACCTGCCACATTGGAGACTGGAGCTTCCCGTCTAGAGCAATGCTTAAGGCAACAGTATCCATTTTCGCAGCCTCAACAATGAATACATGAAGTGCATCCCGAGTTGGCTGCAGGCGTACACCGCCAGATGTAACAACGGTTTCCAGCAGCTTTTCCTCACGAGTTTTGCTCTCGAGACGAACTGAAGCAGAACTATCACTTGCCTCTCCGGAAGCTTGGCCCCAAGATCCACCACCCGTGTTCTGAGAAACCCCATATTTACCATCACTCCCCAGCTTAACCGGATCATATCTACTGAAGTTCTCGTTTTCCATAGTCAACGATCTGTGGAGATTTGGACCTCTGTAGCTGCTGCTTCCATTCTCATTCTTCTTTGGCATATGACCTTGGGCAAAACTACTGATTCCTTGCTTAATAGATGCACTTCCAATACCAACCACCTCACTCAGGAACGATTTTTTATCATCAGAGGGCACCTGAAAGTTAGTATTCCCAAATCCTTCTATGCGCCTGTTGATGCTTTCAGGAGCAGCTGGCTTAGTACCGTTCTCTTCCGAGAATATAGCAGAAATCGTTTCATGAGCAGTATCCCGTACAGCCTTATTAAGCGCATCACCTTTTAGAGGATCTGGATGCCCCTTGTAATGGAATAAGTTGCGAACAGCAACAGAGTTCCTTTGCATTTCTCTTCTAAACTCTGAGCCAGACTTTCCCACAGAATACTTTATCAGCCTAAGAGCCTGTATACATTAAAATACAACCAGAATCAGCATAACAAGTTCCTACAAGATTTGTTCTCTCTCTTTGATCCATTCTCACAAACAGATATCAACCAGCAAACTAAATCAATCCCCGCATGCAACATGATTCAATCAATATCTTTAAGGAGACAGATGATCTCACAAAGGAACAACATTTTAATCAGTCAACCATCGGCATAATCGGTGCGAACCCAATCAAAACAAATCAGAAAAAAAAGGGACGCAATTGAAGAAGGTACCTTCTGCTTTACGATGGGGCTTTTGTTATCAAGACGTTTGAGAATGAATTCCGAAAACTCCTTGACGATGCTGACATGAGAAGAACGAAGGAGGTCACAGATCTCTTCCAATTTGTACACAGGCGCTACCTTGTCCTCGTCAGACGTGACCGCGTCGATCATCCGCGACCTCCAATACGATTCCACGGCTCTTCTGCTCGTATCCATGACGAATTTCCAAACAAAAAACCTAATTTCGCAAAACACAGCAACAACGAGACAATCCTTCGTCCTCGCTCGTCAAAAATCGGAACAAAAAGGGACCTTTAAAGGGAACAATCAATCGAAGACCACTCCCCCCACTATCAGATCAGTTAAAGACCGATCTGGTAAGCTCAAATTCAGCTCAAATTCACTCAACTAAAGATCGCGATCGGGAGCCCAATTTCCTCCAATAAACGCAGAGGTAAACAATTAGCTCCCTGAGACAAGAAAATCATCAGCCAATCGGAATCGATTAAATAATCTCAGAGTAATTAGCAGAGATCGGAGAGAGGCTATGCGAAATCGAGGAGAGACTCACCGGTATGTAGGTGACAAGGAAGGAAGGAAGGAAGCAGTCAACAAAGAGGAATGGAGGCGATTCACAAGTTCTTAAATTCCCAATTTTCTATTTTTTCTTTTCTTTCCTCTTTTTCTTTCACAATTCACATTTTGCACATGAATTTCTAATTTCTTCTCTTCATTTCCGCGACAGGAAAAATCAATTAAATTTGATATATTCAAAAGATAATCAGTCAAAAAAATGAAAACAGAGCACAAAACTAACTAAAACAGAACATTCGAAAGTAACTAATTCCTGAAAAAGCTTGAGACTTTGTGTCTCATCAAACCATCAGCATCACTCTCTTCTTCGTCTTCTTCTTCTTCTTCCTCTTCTTCTTCAACCACCACGTTTCTAAACAGAGTTTTGAAGTAAGGAACAATCTTAGGAAGCACATGTAAATCCGCCATGTTTATACTCATCATATCGAAAGCAATGCAGGTATTGTGCATATGCGACTCGTCAATCACCGGAATCTTCGGGTATCTCTGGCTAAAATGTGTCAGAACAATCCGGTACACTCCCGCCGAAGATCCCACGTCGATTGCTTCTTTAGTCGTGCTATGATTCTTAGCCACAGCCTCTTCTACCAACGCATCCTCAAACGTCGCCTGTGAAGAAAAAAGAGATGAAATTTATCAGAATGTGAAAGATGTAACTTTTGGTAATTTGCTTATATAGAAAAATTCAAACCTCATGTATAAGAACGGTTGCTCCTTTTGAAGCTTCAACCATCTGAGGACAAGGCCTTGTGTCGCCTGAGTAAACCATTTTCCACCCCGGAATCTGATCTCCGACGATGTTTTTTCTCTCCGCTGCTTTTACTACGACCCCAAAGGCTTGAGGGCAATGTACAACAGGGAAACTAATCAAATCCTCCAAACCCATTTCGCCGAGGAACTTTTTCAGTTTCTTTAAGTATGGTAAAGCTGAAGAATTGTCGGTCAAGGGGCTACTCGGTCTTTTATATACACTCTGCATTGGACTTCCTTTACTAAACAAAGAACCTTCTGCGTTTTTAGTACCGGTGATTTTCTCAGGGCTGGTGGTTTCTAGAGTAGCCCAAGAAGTTGTTGTGGTGTTCCTGCAATCAAGAAACTCCATATTTAAATCCTCGAGTCTTTGATATGCATCGAGAAAGTTCTTAAGCGGTCTTGGTCCAATCACAATCGCTGGCTCATGAGGCACTCCTTTCAAAAGCTCACGTCTACGAGCAAGGATTCTTGCAAGACCCGTATGGTGATCAGCATGGATGTGAGAGATCCATATACATCTCAAGTTTCTGACTGCTTCATCAGCTCCTTCTAAACCATATCGTCGTTTAAGCTGGCCTAAGGTACCTTCCCCACAATCCAAGAGCATACTACCTCTAGAGAATAGGTCGATATAAACTGCACTGACGTTTCTGTATTTTGAGGGTTGGGACGAACCAGTGCCCAAAAGAACTATTTCCATGTCGTCTCGTCTAATGTTTTCAAGACAGCTTGGAACAGTGCTCTCATTCAGCCATGGCTCTTCGATCATCATCTTGTTGTGTAGCCCATTCCATAATCGCTTGACTTCTTCGGTCTTACCGCTTATCTCAGGAATTTCTGAAAGTAGCTCATTTATCACTCGTGAGGATGTCAATTGACTAGGGATACAAGATCTGTCTAGCCCAAGGTTACCATGTGGACGCAAAGTGAACTGCCCATCATATAACAAAGAAAGAGAGACTTAAGAAGCTAAAGGAAGCAAGTTTCATTTCGAGGAGGCAATGCACCGAAACAGCAGGAAAGGAACCCCATGCATGAGAAACATTCAATACCTTGAGAAGATTTTCTGCGGATATGGTTTCACCAAGACTTGAACCGAAGCACTGACAATCGAAAAAAAGAACACAGCTTGATTCATTGAACAATGAACACAACCAGAATCCTAATTAATAAAAATGTATGAGAACTAGCATTTGCAACCTTGCTTAAAGAATCGGAAATTATCGAGTTATTAACATGTTGAGGAGACCAAAATCCAGGAGCAGGAAAGAACTGAGGGCACAGATAGTTAAGTCTGGCTGTGATTCTAGAACTGGCTCTCAGGATTGGGAACTCCATATTCTTCCTGGCCAAACACCAAAACACGAACTATTAGACAAATAAAATCAACAGCTTTTGATAAGAAAGAACCATAATTGAGGAGAACTCACGTTTCGTGTCCAGCGAGAATGTGCTGGGCAGAATGGAACCTCTTCATCCAGCTTTGGTAAGTAGGACTATTTGTTACAGAAGCTGGACTTAAATGAATAATACAATTAACAAACTTAGCCCCATCTGATGAACTGTCGGGACATGAATAATAACTCTTCATAGCCGGAACAGATAACAGTTCCTCGGCATGCGACTCTGTTGGACAGTCCACAAGCAAAACAACAGGACCAGGAACTGAAGGTCCCATCACATCACTCGGATGGACCTATGATCAAGCGTAAACAGTGTTAGTCTGCTCCGAGAGAGACTGATATTGGAATGTGGATACACTCAAGAATTGCTCTTTAAGACATACCGTAATATCTTTGAAATCTGACTGCACTGACTGTCCAGACTGAAGTTGACCATATTTTGGACCAGCTCTCAGTCCAAGAGCCATGGCCTTATGTGGGTCAAACTTTCCATTGATTTCAGGTAATTCACATACGTATACAACTGAGGTTTCACCAGGTTTGCTCCCGGATTCCTCTGAGCGGCTTGGTTCAAGGAGAATGGCGGAGATTTTCACTACTTTGTCATCCACAAGGACAAAGGGCTCATCTTTGGGTTTACTTGAGCCAATCTGTGGCGTGGAGTCTGATGTAGTCAACGACGGACCAAAACTTCGTGTGTGAACCATCGCGGCACGAGGGATAAATGACCTCATAGCATCAACCAAATACTTAAGATCCGAAGGACCCCAAACGTTTACCTTTGTAAAAAAAGAAATTTTACAAGTTCAGCAATTCCATTCAAATATTTATAGTCAGATGAAACTCAGGAAAACAGACAGGAAACATACAAAGAGATCATGTGAGAAGAACACTCACGGATAATCCTTCTTCACCAATACCGGCCAGAGTCAGTAGAAGACCTAAAGCATTTAAAATAGGAAAACTTATCACCTTTCTAATGATCTAACAGCAAACACACAAAAGCTGATTCCAAGAAAACAAACCTGGAAGCCCGCCTGCTGTCTCTGAGCAGACACGAGACAAAAATATATGATCCACCTGAAAGAGTTAGCGGATCATTACATTCCAAAAACCACCTCATAAGTCATAACACACAGAAAAAGAGATACAATATGTCCAAAGACGACATTTGACATACCTTTGATAACTTGATTTTATGCTCTGTACAAAAACGTTGCAAGCCCTGCGATTCAATTATTTTAACAAATATGACTACAGCCACTGATAAAAGCCATGACTAAAGATAACATCAAATTCAGAGAGATTGCAGCTAGAGAACTAACCTCTCCAGCATTAAAGATGAACCTTTGTTTGTCAAAGAAGAGTAGTACAGAAGGTGATGTATCTTGTGTATCCATTCCCGTCCCAAGGATCTAAAATGCATATGAAGCATAAAAGATTCAAAATTTTCAAACTTGAGCAAAACCCAACAGATTAATGAAATTCAAGTCTGGAGTTAGATATTGAAACCTGAACATAGGCAATGGTGTTGGTGGGATTAAGCGTGCGAGTGTTCCGCTTGAGATTCTTCTTAGGCTTATCGAACTTATCCATTCCCTCAGCTCTTCTCTTATTAAACCCAAAAGGATCAGAAGAAGGATCAAAACTAGCTTTGTCTTTCTCCATCGGAGACAAGCCTTTTCTCTGCCTACTCTTCTCCTCCTCGAAACTACTCCACTTTCGTCTCGGAGGGAAGCGAGGAGAAGGGTCACTGCGACGGTAACCGGCGGTACGAGGGCGGCGACTCGGGCGAGAAGAGGAAGGAGAAGAAGCGAAGATTGGGTAGAGAGAAAAGGGTCTGAGAAAGAGAGCGAAAGAAGAAGACTTGAGAGGAGAGAATCCGACAAGGCCTAGGTTTTGGGGTATATGAGGCATTGAAGTTAACATTTTCGTACTAACAAGCTCCTCCCTTTCTCCTTCCCCTTCTTCCCCCGTTTATTTCTCGGTCGAGTCACAAATCAGAAGTCCTCTCTCGACCGAATTGTTTTTTTTTTTTGCTCATGAATAAAACAATGATAATGTTAGTTAAGCCCGTGAGCTTTATATCACATTTTCGGCCCATAAAACCATCCATAGAGAGAGAGAGAGATCCCTCATTACTTGGTCCTAGTACTGCAGAATTAACTCTCTTTAAATGCTTTTTCAATTTTCACATCTTGGATTAGCGATGGTTTATTTGGGTAATGTCATGTCACATAAGTCGTTCAGAGATATCTCTTTTACCATTTACCATTTCTCTATCACCAAAGCATCTGGTTTTATTCGAAAGAACCTTAAACATAGGTAGTTGTTTAATAAACCAAAACTTAACAACCAAACCAAGATCTTTGTAACCAAAACTAAACGTAACAAAACAGAGATGTTTGTAACCCAAAATTTAGACGTCAATCAGGATTGGACAAAGTTTAGTTTAATTTCCCCTCATATCAGATCAATCGGTTCTGATAACTAATTTGGCTAACCGGTTGACTAAACCGGGAGCATATACACATTGGATAAGAGATAGAAAAGGCACCACACACATCCATAGAAAGCTCATGGATTGATATAAAACATTATCCCAACTAAAAGGCCTGACCCTTTTTTGTTCGATTTTAATTTATTTTTAAAAAAATTATTAGACCAAGACTATGGCAAGTGTACAGTTGAATGGTTCAAGCTTAGTCGCTTCTCTATCTCCAAATCATAGCTTTAGCCACAAAACCAAACTTTGTAACCTAAAGCCTTCCTTCTTACGCTCAAGACACAATGCCACCAGATTGAGCAGAGCCAAAACCATCCGAGCCATAAGCACTGCACCAGCGAGCCAGCCTTCAGTCGCAGATGAACCTGTCGACGAACCACCAGCTGTCGATTTTGCGTTCGTCCATGTAAGTAATGTTCTTAACTCTTTTTTTATTTTTGCTTAATTATCTTATCTCTTTTCGAATTATTTCCACTCTTGTTAGATTTATCATTAACAAGGCAAGTAGATGATGATGATTAGAGAAAACTGTAGATTTAGTTTCATTTGTTGTTCTATTGAAAAAAGTTAAAGTGATTTTTAATAGAAAGTTAAATTAACTGTGGATAATTTTATTTAGTCGGTGTTGTTACCGGACGGGACACCGGACGTCCATTGGAGAAGAGCGTGCGGTGGACAAAAACTTAGGGACATAATGTTGGATTCTAACATCGAACTCTATGGTCCTTACGTATGACTTTCTCTCCCTGTAATTTGTATATTTCTTACTTAGTCAAATATACTTACTAAAAAAATTACGTGTCATAATTTCGCAGAGTAAACCCTTGTCAAATTGCGCAGGAGTAGGAACTTGCGCTACTTGCATGGTCGAGGTAAGTATGTCTTAGAGTAGTATTAAATTTGTCAATATATTAATCAATAAGCTCAAATTCATACTCAGATGATGATGATCAGGCAAGTCTTGATAATAGAATATCGATGGACATTCTTTGTAGATTGTAAATGGAAAGGAGCTTCTAAATCCACGGACTGACATTGAGAAGGAGAAACTCAAAAGGGTTTATTCTTATTTTAAACGAGATAGTAGTTTTTAAATATCTTGTCTCATTTGGTTATTTGTATTAAATAAGTAATGTTTTCACAGAAACCAAAAAATTGGAGACTAGCTTGTCAAACCAAAGTCGGAAATCCAGATTCTACCGGATTGGTAATACTGATGCATAACTTTTCTCTCTCTAATCTCTATTATGTAATGTACACTTTTTCTATACATGTGACTAATTTCTAGTAATAACCTATTTAATAGGTCGTGATCCAACAATTACCAGAGTGGAAAGCTCATGAATGGAATATCCCTAAGAATTTACCTAATGATGATGATTCTGAAACTTCTACGTGAAAGGATCCATTATTTTGTTACTGTTGTCACTAGACTCACTATATATAAAACTGTAACGATCGATTTTTTTTTTAATATATGTCGATAATTAACCCCACAGCTACCTATTTAAACAAAACTAAATTCTTAAATAACATGACTAGCTTATAATCAAATTAAACAGCCTTTCCTTCAATGATATTCATGCAAATTGGATAACAATTACAACGAAACAGAACCAAACTCCAAACGAAGCAACAGGTCGAGGGACAAATTAAAGAAACCAAGAAACATGAATCAAGAATCATCGATCATCACATTTTGCTTTGCTTAGAAATCAGAAGCAAGAGGTTGATGTTCAGAAGAAGTCATGAAGACATTGCCGTAGATAAGTCCAGCGAGTCCACCACCGATGAGTGGTCCGACCCAGTAGACCCAGTGACCAGAGAAGTCTCCGGCAGCAACAGCTGGTCCAAAGGAACGTGCAGGGTTCATGGATCCACCGGAGAAAGGACCGGCGGCGAGGATGTTGGCACCGACGATGAGGCCGATGGCGAGAGGAGCGATGGTTCCGAGAGAACCATTCTTGGGATCAGCGGCGGTGGCGTAGACGGTGTAGACCAAAGCGAAGGTGATGATGATCTCCATCACTACTCCTTCTATCGCTCCTACTCCAGCCGCAACGCTGTGTGTTGGAACCGCCTGCGTTTTCCCATTGTTTTAGCGTTTGTTTCATTAGTTTTCTAATCATTAAACAGGTACCCTCAAGGAATAGTATATCATCAGTGGAAAAGAAATCTCAACAAAAACCTCTAATAATTTTCATTAGGATTAAACAAAATTTACAATATTCTATAACTTCCACCTTTGAATATATCATGTGTCTAATATATAGTTAACATCGGCTAACAAACAGACAGAGATGTATCAAAAATTATTAAATGGAGACAACTTTTTTTTTTGGGTTGGCCTTGTATAAACTACTATCACATTCTGTAACCTAGTATAAATCGATTAAGATTGTCTTCCAAGACTCTAGATTTGTGTAGACCTACAAAGCATTATAACATAACTTTTTGTTTGGAAAGGTTTATTTTGACCCAAAAACAGAAATCATTAGTAGAGATTTAACTTATGGTTCTTTTTTTTAAGTGAAATATTTTTGGGCTTTTTATAGGTGTTACTAGTGGAAATAATGAAATGTACAACTTGTTTTTACGAGTAAGGAGTTGTAATGTGGACATACCAAGCCACCGGTGACGAATTTAAGGAGGAAGCAAGCGGCAGTGGAGCCGAGAAGCTGAGCAATCCAGTAGAAAACTCCGGTGATGAGTGTGATTTGACCACCGAGAGCAAGACCAAAAGTGACGGCTGGGTTCACATGGCCACCGGAGATGTTGGCTCCGATTGCAACCGCCACGAAGAGGGCAAATCCATGGCACACCGCAATGGCAACAAGTCCAGGCGTATCAAGAGCGGCGTCAGACGTCAACTTAGCTATATACATAAAATGTGACACATTCGTTAAGTATTAATATTGGACTCATTTGTTACGAGTTACGAAAGTTAATATTATTTTAGAAAAATACGAACCATAGGCTATGGCGGAGCCAACACCAGCGAAAACAAAGAGCAAAGTGGAGATGAACTCAGCGAGGTAAGCTCTTAGAGAAGCCAAGCTGAAGGAATCATCAAAGGAACCAAAGGCAACTCCTGCCATTGTTTTTAGATGTAGGATGAAGAAAGTTTTGAAGGGTTTTTGTTTTTTTTTGGTTAATGAAGAAGATGATAAGAACTTTTGCATGCCATTACCTTTTTATAGAGGAGTCTCGTCATATATTCATGCATCATGTGTATTAGAAACCAATATTTTAGGAGTGTTTTAGTTTCCGGTGGTGGGTTGAACAAAAAGTTTTTTTTTTTTGACAGGGTTGGACACAAATTAATAAATGATTTCAGGAGTACTATTTCCATTTTACTCTATAGCTATTCGTGATTTGTTTAGGAAGTTGCCTAAAAAGACTAAAATAATGACATTTACGTGGAAAACTCTAGAATAACAATATATATATAGTAATACATTATACTATATACATTATATGCATGTATTTATACGATATATAGTGCATTCATGACCTAATCGTGGTTCTTTACGAAGTTCTTCTCACTATCTAAACTATAAAGGAACTCTAGTACGACTAAATTAAAGAATACTGAAATTAAAATGAAGGTAAATCAATCAAAGTATGATACTCTAATGATTATTGGTTCAATAGTAAAAACTACATGTTTTCCACACCAAAAAAAAATAAAAAAATACATGGGAAAATTCTCAAAAATCCACATATTATGTTTTGATTTTCAAAATACCACCAAAACCCAAGAACTCCAAGAATACTACAAATTTTTTAAAATTAGAGAAGAGCTTTTATAATTTACCAGGGGGTTTCGATTAATTTTTGAATCAGTTTTAGTAACTCTTCATACACGTTTTGACGGCACTACTAAATTTAAAGTTTGTGATATGAAATAAAACTTGTTTTGTGGCATATTCGACAATATTTTCAATAGAGCGGCTCTCTGTCTCATAAATTAGTCAAGAATTTGGATCGGATTTTCCTATTAGGAAAAATGGCCGGTTAAAAGTAATGGCCGGTTTAAACTGATTGAAATTAGGGTGATGGTGGTGGACCCAAAGGACAGAGGAGCTTCAAATTTTCAAAAAGGATAAAACATAAAGATGAGATTAGACTAGAGAGAGAGAGAAAAGAGAGAAGAAAACAAATGGATACGAACAACAAGTAAGGAGGGACAAGTGTGAGCTGTAATGAATGTGTATGGGTGATGATAGACCGGCCAAAAATATGAGGTGCTTGCATGTGACATGATCTTCCTTTTTCCCCCAGTGATTTGATCATATTTTGAAGATGTGACTCATTTATGATTATATTCCATTTCACAATGTTATATTGCGTCCCTCCACTATTTACCTCTTCTATGAACATTCTCGATCATATTCATTGATTCTCCATCTTGTACATTCGTACTCTTATTGAAATCCAAATTTGTTTATCAAAATTTGTCAACAAAATAATCGAAAGATAAAATGAATGAAAACATTTTGGTGATAAAATACAAAAAGTTGTTAGATCTATTAAACTATACGTTAAAGATGTATATTTGTTGCGACTTTTCAAAAATGTGCTATTTCATTTATCATCCAACAATTCTGCATCCACTTTTAGACATTCTTATAACTAGAAAGAAAGTTTTTTAGTTTTCTCAAAACTAATCATATGTTATCTTGAGATTGGAATGACATGTGTTGATCTATTACATATTTACATCTATACACTTTCCTTAAACTTATGGTTCTTACTATTTCAAGAAACTCGATATACCTTTAAATCTGCAAGGTTCATTGCTGCCACCTTACCAAATACGCCAAGGGCCGTTTAGATGGGATCATTATTCTCCTAATTATATCTATAGATTAAGCATGATTAGTTGAATGATAAACTATTTTTAACTTATCCATAACTATACTATACTTTCTAAACAACAATAGTTTTTGCTATTCGTTGTAGGCCGGTGGAATTATTCGAGTCTTACGAGTTTAATAAGCTTGATTTTCGTTGTCTTGCCTCCATGCCCAAGAATCTTTCCAGTTTTAGATCTGTTGACTTGATTATTAGTTCATTACTAATCAAAATAGCCTCTAATAAAAGATGCTTTTAACCTAATAGTCAAATCATTTTCAATGTATCATGCATGTATTTATTCTTTATTTAATATCCTTTTGATTGTGTCAAAAAAGCAGAAGACCGTTCCTGGCTCGGTTTATTGAACCAAGACCAAGACAAACCAAACCGAGGACAACTATTTGGTTAAAACAAGAAGACCCGTACAACTTTACAATTTGGTTCTCCTCTCAAAGTTTTAAGTGCTTATACAATGCCATACAACACACACTGATTTATTAAATCATAAAGAAGAAACAGTAGAAAGATGTTTGGGACCAAAAACCTGTGAAGAAGCTTGAGGTTTGAGACTGTGACCGGTTTGATGTTTCTCTTCAGGCTCACTGTTCCCCTGGAAATGGTATTGAAGCACAGCAGCGGTAATAGCCGCTCTGGTCGAACACAAAACGCTGTGAGAGATGAGCTTCTCGGATCAGATACTCTCCCCAGTCTTCATTGCCAAACTGCTTGTGTATCTCTCTTGCATCAAACGTCTCCATCTTATTTCTTTTGTCCTTTCTAAGACCACACGTTTTTTCAGATAATCAGAGTTTTGTAACATTGTCTTATTTATCTGAACATAAATTCAGAGTTGGGGATCAATCACCTTTTCCTGTGCCTTGCATTCATCACGGTCGCATGTAGCTACAAAAAAAAACAGAACAAATTATGAAACAGAAGCACTATTCACCACTTTCAAGCCCACTGGTTTTTAGCTTTTAGCCAAAAAAATGAAGTGGCTGCAAAAATCTCTCCATCTTTAACCATAGTTTTAAAACTCAGAGAGCTTTTACCTTCAAGCTTTGCTTTGCATCTTTCTCAAGAACAAGCCCAGCTTTCACAAATGCATCAGTAATAACTTCTGAACTTGTGGTTAAGAAAATCGAAAAAACTTGTGCTAATGACGGTCTAAAGTCTAACCCATGCCACTGCTAAAAAACTAACATGCTCACTACACAGTAGGATACGACAAGCACGTAAAAGCCGGCCTTCATCGCCAATTTCTTCAACAGGAGCATAGAGCACACGAGCCTTGGCTAATGATCCTCTCATACAATCCTTTAGAAGATAGCAATATGACAGATCCGTAATATACAAGTAGAAGGTAAATGAATCGTAAATTATAGCCAATGATGTATCATCTTACCAATCCTTTAAGTCTAATGAATAGTGGCCGGTTATCCAAAGCATCCATCACACTAGGAGATATACTCTGTTTTTTTTTTTCAGAAAACAAAACATCCAAATTTATGAAGCATCACTAAAATGAATGAATATACTACCTCTTCAAAAAGAAATTACCTTCAGAACATCACGGGCTGCTTCGACTCGATCTTTGTTCCATAACTTTAGCATAAGCACAGTCAAGTGAAAAGTATTGGGCTTGATAAATATGGACTTTTCAATTCCCAGGTCTGCCAATGTATAAAATGTACTGACCATGGGGAACAAATATTATTCTATCTTCAGATACATCAATTTAGTTCCTTTTATTACCAGATAAAGTAGATGACTTTGTTTCTTTAGGCTTACGCTGGTAACTGACAATTGGTATGCTCTTGATATCAACATTGACCTGGTTTGTTTCGCTATTAGCTTTTAGATCAACCGCCACACTTGAGGTTGTTTTATTGGCTTGGTCATCTTGTTCATCACCAGCTATGCTATGGTTTCCGAGTATAGAGTTCTGGAAATTCACTAGCTTGTCCACTAACTCAGGGTGTATGGCCAGTGGAAGTGATACAAAGTGTGAGTAGTCTAGACTCGGACTCCTTACGGCCTAGAATGGGAATTTAATTAAATGCGCACAATCAGAAAGAAATGGAAAAGGAAAAAAGACGAGCACCATAGTAGAGATTAAAGGGGAACCTCATCGATAATGGTTGCTATTCTTTCTGAAGCTTTAGTCACAAAGTCCACTGAACCACCTTCAACGACTGCAAAGGAGAAAGAAGAGAATAACAATCAAGGCAGCCAGTAAGTACTAAGGGCAAAGACATCAGATTATACATTACAGTTGGTTCCAAAACGTAACTGGTGTGATCTTCGTTCCTTGATGATGGAAAAATGATCTTCACTCCCATTTCCTCTTCAATTTTCATCTGTGTAGTTCCTCTTTTTTGCAAAGATTACAACCCCATTAACACGTACATACATGCGGTGCCAAAGTATAAGATTAACAAACTAGAGCTCTTACTCTTTCCCTCTGATGAACTTAATCAGAGAAGCCCCAACCTGCAAAACAATCCCACAAAAAGCAGACAAATTAGTTAAAACAAAAGGCTACAAGAAACATCAAGTAACCGAGGGAAAAGGACCTCAAGAGAAGCCGAATGCTTTCCAGTTGAAACAACCGAGGCAGTCTCACTCACTCCTCCAACATCACTTGAATTGCTACACTGAGCCGATTTTTGCACTTCATTTCCAACTTCTGTTACATCACGAGAAGCCATGTAAAGATAGAAAGCTATAACCAATATGGCTCATACGAGCAAACTGATCAAGCGAAGATGCTATAAGACCTGCAGCAACTGAAGAGGATTGAGAGGAGATGGGTCTCCACACTAAATTTACAATCTTTTGCTTCTTGCTTCCATCCATACCAGCGTTTCCACTATAGCTCATGGTACTGAAAGATTCCTGCAGTGTCAGGTGGTGTAGCCACAAAACATCAATCCAACGCTATGCAAACAATCTCAAATCACTTACAGAGATCACACTCCCGCCAAAAAAAAAAATTACGAGGAGAAGACAAATTATGTCTTAACATCAAAATTGGCCTTACCGGTCTCGATTTGACACATCTACTCGTAAACCAAAGTACACGATCAATCCTGCCCAAAATAAACGACATGAACTATATATAGAGCTAAGACAGAATAAAAAACCACTAATCCAGACCTCGGAAGGAAGAAAACTTCAAATTTGGGGTTTTGCGTAAACTGAAATCTGATGATAGAGATTGGAAGAAAGAAATAATTTTTATTGCTCTCGTGTTTTTTTCTTGGATACCCAATGAAGAGAAGAGGATAGAAGAGCACACGAACCTAAAGAGAGACCTGCAAGTAATCAACATCTGTCTTCCCCGCCGCCTCTCCTCCGCCGGTGATCAGCCGTAGTACGATATCTTTCCTCCGCCTACGTTTTTTTACTTATTACCACTTCCCCATTACTTCCATGAAATTATAGTTTTTACCACATACTTTTAATATTAACTGTTATGACCCTAAAAGTATTGTTATGTCTTAAAACGACGCCTTGCTCAATTTATTCAAGCTGCTTCTCTCCTTTACTCTTTCCTTGTTGTAAACATGATGATAGAAAAATTACTAAAAAAGAAAAGATCAATCGGTAAGATCTCAACGTTTTTTTGTTTACTTAGCAAACCATATTACATAATGCGTAAATTACCACACTATAATGTCAAAAGCCACACCAGTTACCACTTACTTGTGATTACACACACACATTACATATTGAAATCAATACCACAAAAAAAACTTGTGGAGTAAATATTGATCCTTTTGAATGTCACTCAAGTGGAAAAGGTAGTGAACCACAACAATGGTAGTAGCCGCTCGAGTCATACCAAGATCGTTTTGACAGCTGAGCTTCTCTGATTAGATATTCTCCCCAATTTATTTCCCCAAACTCTTTGTGTATCTCTCGTGCATCAAAAGTCATCCCTTTGCTTTTATCTCTTCTGTAGCTTGCATTCATCATCGTGGCATGTAGCTGCAAAAAAAGGAACAAGCATTAAAGAGAAGCTGAGACATCTTATTTCTAGTCCAATGACAATACTTAAAAGGCAAAAGTGTAAAACAATAAGAGAGTTATAAAAAGCATTTACCTTCAAGCGTGACTTTGCATTTTCCGCAGCAAATTTAGCATTCACAAAAGCATCGATGATAACATCTGATTTTAGGTAGTTAAAGATTTCGAAAGCTCTTGCAACCTGAAAAACAACTTGCTTATAGCAAAACATGTAATGCTCTACACTTGAAAATTCCAAGTCCATTTTTAAACCAATGCACAAGAGTAAAACTAAGATCTTTGAGAAATTAGGATACGACAAGCTCTTAGTAGCCGGCCTTCATCCCCAACTTCTTCAACAGGAGCATAGAGAACACGTGTTTTGTCTAAAGATCCATTCATAGACTCCTTAACAAGACAGAAAGACAAAAAAAAAGCAGACCATTGGTATTAAGTCAATGTTTATGTTTCAAGCCACTAGGATATATGCTATAATCTTACCAATCCTTTAAGTCTTACGAAGACAGGTCGGTTATCCAAAGCATGCATCACACTTGCAGAAAAACTCTTATCCTTTTTCAGAAGAAGGAAAAGAAAAAGAAAAACCCTTCAACCATCAAAGCAAATCCTTAAAAGGAAAAAGAAAACACAATATATATATATATATATATATATATATCTATTTAATTCTACCTTAAGGATAGCAAGTGCTGCATCCACATCTTTCTCGTTCTCTAACTTTAACATAACCACAGTCAAATGGAAAGTATTTGGCGAAACAAACATCGATTCTTCGATTCCCTTTTCTGTCCAATGTCAAAAATAGCATATCACAGAAACAGGTTTCATACTAAAACTAACACCATTAACCTCATTTATATTTTCTTGTCTTTACCAGCTAAAGTACGCTGCTTATTATCATTATTGTTACCCAGTATAGAATTCCGAAAAGCATCAACTTTTTTCTTCAGCTCGGGGTATATGGCTAATGGAAATGATATAAAGTGTGTAAACACTTCTCCACGACCCTGTACAATCTACCAATCATTTTGAAGAATTCAGTGTTCACAGTAAGTAGAATACCCAAATTAGAGACTTATTGAGGATCAGAGTTTGTGGTTCTTCTACAGAAAGTTCTCAACACTGATGATGAAGATAATCTCGGAAATCGATCAGCAAACCTGTTTGCCTTTGCCGGCGAGAGGAGTGGGATGAGCAGTCGAAGAATGCCCGCGATTCTGAAGTGATAAACTCTGCTTTGACGAGTTCTTGAACAACTCTGTTTTCATTTGATTCTCCTCGGATCACACACACACACAAGCATCATCCAAAGGACCAAATCAAACCCAAAAACCAGAGAGAGAGAGAGAGTGATAGTTTACCCATAGCGCGATTATTCCGCCGTTTGAGACTCTTCACGTTAGTCTATTCTTCATCTAATTTTCCGAAAGGCCTTTTCTTATTGTTCCAAAAAAAAAAAAAAAAAAGACAAGCCTTTTCTTTAAACATATAAATGAGCGTAAAGAAGTTGCAAAGAGATTTTAGTCCAAAAAAAAAAAGTCCTCCAAAGTCTCTCTCACCTAACCTAAGCACACAGAAAATTTCGTAAAGTCGCAATTTGAGAAACCACGCTGCTTTGTTAACGACTCCAGCGTATTCACTGCAGCTTAATCAAAGTTAGGCACTAATTGTAACTTTAACCTTTAGGCTAATCAATGATTATACGCATGCGTTTCTCTTTTCAAAGCCTTTGATCTAAAATGCTTTTGCTATTAAATAAAATTAACTTTATATATGTAAAGTTAGTGATTACGGAACACGCGGATTAGGTGTCCAAAATGTTCTCTTTTAAATATTTTAATCACATTGCAAACCCAACAAACGTTTTTTCCTACACTATTTTGCGCCGTACACATCTCCTTCTATAAGGAACCACCACAAGCAAATAACACCAAAAGACAATCTTTAACCACAATTCAAAAACAAAACAGATAACAAAAAAATGTCAAAATCTCTCCCGGAAGAATTATCCGTTGAGATACTCGCGAGGCTGTCGATGAAGAATCTGGCTCGCTTCAGATGCGTCTGTAAGACATGGAGAGATATTATCAACCACCGTGGCTTCGCTAAAAGGTACCGAGACATTTCTCCGGCCAAGTTCGTGTCGTTTTACGACAAGGGTTTCTACTTGCTTGACGTGGAAGGCAAGAATCCAGGTATTACAACACCTCCTAAGCTTGATTTCCCTTTAGACCAGTCGATGATCGACGAATCCACGTGTGTGCTTCATTGTGATGGGACGTTATGTGTGACTTTAAAGCATCACACTTTAATGATTTGGAATCCATCGTCGAAGCATTTCAAGGTCCTACCAAATCCCGGTATATTCAAACATCCTCGGTTTCGGTTATGATCCGGTTTCCAATGATTACAAAGTCGTAACGTTTACTGACCGGATGGATTCCTCCACGGCGCAGGTTTTCGAATTCAAAACCGGTTCTTGGAGAGAGAGCTTACGGATTCCTTATCCTGATTGGCATTACAGAGAGAGAAGAGGTATATTCTTTGATCAACACCTCTATTGGATTGCGTACCGGTCTAATGTTGACCGGTTTATCCTAAGCTTCAACCTCTCAACCCACGAATACCTGAAATTTTTTATGCTAAATATTTATTATGCTAAACATTTAGATTTTTATTTTATTTTTTTTCTAGTAAGCGACAAAAAAACTACTCCCTCTGTTCAGAATTATTTGATGTTTTAGAAGGTTTTTTTTGTTCAAAATTATTTGATGTTCTCACTTTTCAATACAAAATTTAATGAATTTTTATAGTTTTTGACCTTTTATATTCTGCAGATTGTTTTCTTATTGGCTGAATGATATTTAAATGAATTATAAATAATATTTTTAGTATAGGAAAAATAAAAATTAAATGAATCCTTAAACTGTGTGCAAAATCCTTAAACATCAAATAATTCTGAACAGAAGGAGTATTTATCAACATTTATTTTTGGAAGATTTCGAAAACTTTAAAGGGAGTTGTTTCCTTTTTTTTTTCTCCTTTTAAAGCGTCACTTCCGCAAAGTTGAATATTTAATTAAAAATAAAAATTGCAATACTCAATAGACTAATCACAAGTTAAATTAATTTCAATGTACACAGATCCATCCTATATCCTAATCCATGACTTGATACAAAAGGGCATTTCAGTAGTCTCCAAAATCCTTGATCCTCTTGGCCAGTTTCCATATCCACCATAACCCGTGTGTCGTGCAAAGCAAAGCCAGAGCTTGTCCTTGTACGGACAGCACCAATCTAGTCCATGGTTGTGGCCTACAATCACTGCCTACGCACCAAACATATACTGAAAATGAGCCATCACTGTTCCGTCGCTAAAATAGTTACTTAAAAGCGTTACATATATCACTTGTAAGGAATCTAAATGTTTCATTGTATAGTGCTTAGTACTTAGTACCTTAACTGAAGATTTCTTCTCAAGAAGTCTCATCATATTTCATTCTCGGCTTCTTGAGCAGCAACTTTCTCTTTGTCGATTGATCCGGTGCAAGGTTTTGTTATCCATAGCCTTGGTTGGAGCTAGCTATACTTTCTTGTATGCTTTACTCGGTATGTGGCAAAATATCAACTCCGGGATCCTGCCCCAAGTGCACATCTTTCAATATCAGATTAGAGATAGATTTTGGTATCACAGGAAGGTTCGGCTAGTTCAGGTTCAGGGTCTCTGACTGAACAGTCATCCTTCAGCTTTGGCCTGCCAAACTGCCAAACAATGGAAAGTTTTTCTCCACACCAAACAAACAAAAAAAAAAGAGAGAGAGAAGGGTTTAAAATATATAATGTTTTGATTATGTACCTTAAATCAGGATTAAGAGTATTAATTGGACAAGGAACCTTAAAACATTCCACTTGAGAATTTGAAATAACCTCCGGGAATGAACCACCGCCGGAGTCAAGAAAGTATAGCAACGCCACGGCTGGTTTCGAATCATCCGATGACTCAAGGAGAAGGACGTAATTAGAGACACTTGGCAATAGCTCCTTAGGACCAATCATTGAATATGAGAGTGCATTATTACTAATGGATGCTTTTGGTTTCTTCTTGAATCAATCCAAGACGCGTCGTTCCTCTATGATATTGCGATGTAGTGTGCCGTTTACTACATCTCCCAAGTATACACACTGATGATCGCATCTCTCTACGTCAACATGAACTCTCTTGCATTAATCACATCTAAAGACTGACATGGACAGTTGAAAAGAGGCTAAAACATCCAAAAATCATGTATTAGATGATAAAGATCGAAAAAGCAAAAAGAAAAAAAAGAAAAAATACTAGCAGTCATCTTCTTGTAATAATGAAAAAGAGAGAGATACAAGAAACAAATAAAAAGTATTTGGCAAAGGGAACTAGTACTTAATCAATAAAATCTCTTTCTTTCCTTTTGCCCCGTCGGTTGACTTGAAGTTTCACTAAACTGGGAACGTAAGAATAGATCAAAAGAGGGTTATAATATCCAGATTCGTAAACTCCTCTAAATTTCACAGATTTGAGATATCCACCTTGTCCAATGATGTAAGCTGTTTGGTAGTAACTTGTACTAGTCCTTTGAGATCCGCAGGAATCGAAAACCACTGCGACTTTCTTCTCCTCGTCGTCGATGAAGAAGCTCCTAGCATGAAACATGTCAGGAAATCTGTCAGGAGAAGTAACATTGGGCTCCACATTCAAAAACTTGCTCCAGGATACCGCATTGGGCTTGATGTCAGTTGTAATCCAAATCTCCATCATTGAATTGCGGCGTTGATACAAAACAGCGAGGTGCTCATCTCTGACACAAGACAGAGACATAGCGTGTAAAGACATAAAATACGGGTGAGAGGCCGGCAGAGGAAGGCGCGGTCCAAATCTCTCTGCTGTAAAATCGAAACAGAGTAAAAAACCTTTAAATGTTTCTTCACCAGCAAGAAAGTATGTATTTCCCTTGAGAGACACGCTGCGTAGTATTTCATAACAGTCGGGACTGAGATCAAGAACTCTCCATGAATCAGAGTCAAATTCGTAGATTTCGTAAAAGGGCAGGAGGTCTGAGCCCTCACGAACATCCAAAAACCTCAAAATTTTGTGATTACGACTGTTGTTGCTGTTTTTGCCGTATCCGAGAGCATACTTGTCTGATCTATGGAATCTGTGGTATTTGTGTATGGGTTGGATCCACCTGGTTTCCCCTAAATACGGGTTCCACACCACGCGCCACTTGGTGTCCTTGATGAGGCATAGCAACAAGCCGTCGCAGTGAAAGACTTGAAATACATCGGCTTCGTTAAGTGATCTTACTTTCAAATCAGCCGAGTCCCCGTCGTTTTGGAATTTCATTGAACAAAGCCGAGAGCCTATCACCATGAACCCTAGAAACTGATCCCTTGTTTTGCCAACAATCTGATTTTTTGATAATACGTTCCATGTTTTACATGTACATCGCACTGCACTCAGACATGATAATGGAACCTTGAACAATATCTCCTCCACCAAAGCTACTGGTAGATCGGACATTCTTGTCATCGCGCTATGGGTAAAATAACGTGAAGAGTCTTAAACTTTGTCATCCTCGCATCATCCAAGTCAAACCCAAAAACGAGAGAGAGGGAGAGAGAGATATTTTACCCATAGCGCGATTTTTCCGCCGTTTGAGACTCTTCACGTTAGTCTTTTCTTCTTATATTTTTCCGACAAGGTCTTTTCTTTTCTTTAAACATATAAATATATAAGCGTCAAGAAGTTGCAAGAGACTTAGTCAAAAAGTTTCTCTCACCTAACCTTAGCTCACAGAAAATTTCGTAAAGTCGCAATTTGAGAAACCACGCTGCTTTGTTAACGACTCCAGCGTATTCACTGCAGCTTAATCAAAGTCAGGCACTAAATGTAAATTTGAGCTTTAGGCTACTTAATGATCATAAGCATGCGTTTCTCTTTTCCAAGCCTTTTATCTAAAAATGCTTTTGCTAATAAAGAAAATTAACTTTATATATGTAAAGTTAGTGATTACGGAACACGCGGAGTAGGTGTCCAAAATGTTCTCTTTTAAATATTCTAATCACATTGCAAACCCACCAAACGTTTTTTTCTACTCTATTTTGCGCCGTACGCATCTGCTTCTATAAGGAACCACCACTAGGCAAATAACACCAAAAGACAATCTTTCACCACAATTCAAAACAAAAGAGATAAAAAAAAAATGTCAGAAATTCTCCCTGAAGAATTATCCGTTGAGATACTCGCGAGGCTGTCGATGAAGAATCTGGCTCGATTCAGATGCGTCTGCAAGACATGGAGAGACCTTATCAACCAACGTGGCTTCGCTGAAAGGTACCGAGACATTTCTCCGGCCAAGTTCGTGTCGTTTCACGACAAGGGTTTCTACTTGCTTGACGTGGAAGGCAAGAGTCCAGGTATTACAACACATGGTAAGCTTGATTTCTCTTTAGACCAGTCCATGATCGACGAATCCACATGTGTGCTTCATTGTGATGGGACGTTATGTGTGACTCTAAAGAATCACACTTTAATGGTTTGGAATCCATCTTCGAAGCATTTCAAGATCCTACCAAATCCCGGTATATACCGAGATTCAAACATCCTCGGTTTCGGTTATGATCTGGTTTCCAATGATTACAAAGTCGTAACGTTTATTGACCGGGTAGATTCCTCCACGGCGCAGGTTTTCGAATTCAAAACCGGTTCTTGGAGAGAGAGCTTACGGATTCCTTATCCTGATTGGCATTACAGAGAGAGAAGAGGTATATTCGTTGATCAACACCTCTATTGGATTGCGTACCGGTCTAATGTTGACCGGTTTATCCTTAGCTTCAACCTCTCAACTCACGAATACCGGAAATTTCCTCTTCCGGTTTACAGCCAAGGCATGGCGTGTTCTTGGTTAGGCGTTACAAGCCAAAAACTTTGCAATACAGAGTATGAACCGTGCGAGAAGGAGATTCGGATTTCGGTTATGGAGGAAACCGGATCATGGAACAAAGTTATAAGCCTTTCATTGTCGAATCTGATCTCTGTACAAGATCGGCTCTGGGATTATCAAGTGGAGTTCGTGTCGTTTACGAAAAAGAACGATCTACTCGTAAAATTCACAGGGTATTACGATAATCTCAAGACGGGAGATGAAGAACTTGCGAAGGAGAAGGTGTTCTTATACAAAACCGGAGCCAAGACTTTTGAACAAGTCCGGTTCTGTAACTCTTTATCCGGCGTTCAGTTTCTCGGTGAATATGTGGAGACTCCTGTGATTAATAACCTCATATTTACTTGATCTTGATTCTTGAACAAGAAAACAAACATTAGCCTTGTGGTTTTTCCTTTTTTTTTGCTAAAAGATTTTCTGTGTGAATGCATGAGAAAAAAAAAGGAGTTTTGAAGCCCAAGCCTGAAACCCAAATAATTAAACGAAGAACTAAACCAAGTGGGATAACTTATGAACGAGAAACAAAGTAGTAAACCATGAGGAGCAAGAATTGAAAAATGAAAAAACACTATTTGATGAGAAAACTATGCTTCGACTAGTCGTTTGTGGTCATTGATCAGATTACAGATTTGACCATTAGCTTTGTGTCGCAGTGAGTGAGACGGATAATGAATTAGCAGGACAACTGGGGAAATTTTACACTTCTACGTAATACACAAGTTACAATGAAAGGATCTAAACATGCAAAAACCGGTTTCTAGCTCTGGTGGTAAAGGACCCTCTGATTATTACGAAAACCAAACCAATTCGATGATACCTTGTTAAATGTAATATTGTTTTATGAAAACAGGTAACTTAATAACTGTACCCGGTTTGGTGTTTGTTCTTGGTTCGTCGTTAATCACTCGGAGACGTCACTAAATTTTGAGTTTTGAACACGTCAATAGATGTTTAGTTTTCTTCACTTTTTGGGTGGAAAATCAATTTTTGTTACTTCAAAAGAGAAAGAAACCTCTTTGGATTACAAAAATTGAATAACAGCCAAAAAAAAAGAAGAGAGATTAGAATAATAAAATGGAGAGAGGGGTGAACAATGGGCAATCACTTTGGCACTCTCAGTCACCCAAAACTCCGACCACGATGCTGGATCGCGCTCTTTCCTCTCGCCGTCCTCACTCCGACGCCGATCTCTCTGATTCCGGCGAATCCGGCACCGACGAATCTAAGACCAAGCGGCCACACATCTACCTCCTCGCCTCCAATTTCCTTTCTCGGATCGGACATCAGTGGTGGCCTTGCCTCATTCTCGCTCTCCTCTTCCTCCTCCTTCTCCTCCTCACCTCACTGGCTTTCCACTCTAGCAGCTTCGTCTGCATCTCCCGTTTCGATCCGGCCGCTCGGATCGGCTTCTTCGGTCTCGACGGGCTCGAATCGGACTTCGGAGCCTTAGGTGTTCCTTGGTGTAAGCACTCGAGATCTCTCTTATTTAAAGCTTTGTTTTATTTGCGTCTGACATTGTGCCTTGTATTTTGTTCTTCTTCTTGTAGTTCCATGTAGATTTACTCAGAAATGCTTTAGCGAGATTTGATCTAGGTTTCCAATTCTAAAGATGGTATTCTGGTCTACTTAGAAATTGCTCTCTTGACAATGTTGCAGTATTAATTTTTCACTAGTAACATGGACTGGTATTTGGTGGCACTGTTTGCCAGTGGTTAATATGGGTAATATCGATGGTGCTATGTGTGAAATTAGTAGAAAAGAACCATTAGCTGCTTTGGTACACTTTAATGATGAGTTTGATAGTTTGAGATAGCGATGTTGTTGTTGTTGTTCTCAATCTCCATGGTGATTAAGAAGAAGAACACTTTCTGGGTTCTTGAAGTTGTTTATGGAATGCATTGTTTTCTATCAAGAAATCGAAGTGTTATGTTATGGACGTATTTAATTCTTTTCCTTGGCAAAAGGCAGATCGAAACATGGCAAAGAAGTTGAGTGGACCTCCAAAGATTTACTCAAGGGTCTTGAAGAGTTTGTTCCGATATATGAAACACGGCCAATAAAGAACAACATGCATGGAATGGGTTTTGATCACAGCTTTGGGCTATGGTTCATGGCTCGTTGGCTAAAGCCAGAGCTCATGATTGAGAGTGGTGCTTTTAAGGGACATTCCACTTGGGTTATGCGGCAGGCGATGCCAGATACACCAATCATCTCACTAACGCCCAGGCACCCTGAGAAGTACCTAAGAAAAGGACCTGCCTATGTTGATGGGAACTGCACGTACTTCGCAGGCAAAGATTTTGTTGATTTTGGAAGTGTTGATTGGAAGAACGTGTTGAGAAAACACGGAATAACAGATCTCAACCGCGTTGTTGTCTTCTTCGATGACCATCAGAATGAACTCAAAAGGTAGTTTTTTCCATTTCTCATGTCCTGCCTGTATCGCATGTATGCGAAGAATTCACTGGTTTTCTCTGGTATACTTCCAAGAGCAGGATAAAGCAGGCACTGAAGGCAGGTTTTCGACATCTCATTTTCGAGGATAACTACGATACAGGAACCGGGGATCACTATTCCCTTAGGCAGATATGCGATCAGTCATATATAAAAGGTGGGTTCTATAAAAGATCACACATTTAGATACGTACACGAGTTTCTTTATTGTTTTCTCATATGATCCGGTTTTGTTTTCTCCAGGAGGCGGCCACAGCTGTTTCAAAGACAGTGATGAAGCCAGGATTAGATCAAAGAGGAAGAATTTCTGGGAAAAAGCTGTCGATACAGAGGAGCTGTGCGGACCAGGCGAAACATGGTGGGGAGTTAGAGGAGAAATGAGAGATGATTTCAACCACAGTAACACACTGATCTCGTACAATCAGCATTTTCAAAACAGTCGATACGTTGAGTCGATTCTAGATGTGTATTGGGAGCTACCTCCGGTTGCAGGACCTTCGTTGACCCATCAATCGCGATATGACCCTGCTCGTTCGACTCCACCAGTTGTAGAAGATGGGAGGCATCGTTTGTTCCAACGACTCGGTTTAGGTCGGCTCGATAAGTCTGTGTTCAATGGCTATACTCAAATGGTTTACCTTCAGATATCCAAGGCCGGGTCATAGAGATTCCTGCAAAAGAAGATCGACTTGTTTTTTTTTTTTTTTGGATTATTCCTTAGCTTTGTTTTTCTTCTCTTACAGCTTAAAACTAAAGTTTGTCAATACAAGAGAGTTTTTTCTACTGTGGTTTTCGTGTAAAAGTTTCGAGGTCGGTTATGATTCGTTAGCTGGTTTAAAATTTTAAATAGGCAAACGTTTTTTCCGGTTCTGGAATGTAATAACAAGTTTAAACCGGTAAAATGTTGAGCAAACCGAAATAGAGAGAGTTATTAGGCCGAGATTCGGTAAGTGATAGACCCAATTTTATCTAGAAGCAATTTTATCTTGTGTGCTGGAAAAGAACCATGGCCGAGAGATGGACGAACACGGCTCTACTCGTGATCGATATGCAGGTCTTTGTGTTTTATATTAGTGATAAAGGTCGATTTTTTCTGCGTTTTCTGGGATTTTGGAGTATTGAATTTTGTGTCTTTGTGAGCAGAATGATTTCATAGAGGAAGGTTCGGTGATGCAAGTGAAAGGCGGAAAATCTATAGTTCCTAATGTTATTAAAGTCGTCGAACTCGCGAGGCAGCGTGGCATTCTCGTAATTTGGGTATTTCTCCATGATCTCTTGTTCTTTTTGATTGCATGGACTTTGTGCATTATGTTTTGCAACTTCGTTGAAAATTAGAAATCTGCTATGGAAGAAGGGTTTGTTTTGCTATATATGAATTCGATCTTGCTATCGAAATTCTTTCCCCTTTTCATGGAAAATTTGAGTCAGATCAATTCAGGAGGTAAAGGGCTTCCTTTTATTATCTGAATGTGAGAATAGGTCTGGTTTTGAGTATTGAAGCTTAAGGGTGTATGCTCACTTTGCTAGAAAATGATAAATCTTAAATTCAGTGTTGTTTGGAAAATTTGTTTTCAACGTTTTAAGGTCGTTCGAGAACACGATCCGAGAGGAAGAGATGTGGAACTATTCAGGCGTCACCTCTACAGCTCTGAGAAAGTTGGACCGACTGTTAAAGGAACAGTAGGTGCAGAGTTGGTAGATGGACTGATCATCAGAGAAGAAGAAGACTATAAGATAGTGAAAACACGTTTCAGCGCATTCTTTGGTACTAATCTTCATTCCTTCTTGCAAACTTCCGGGGTTACCAAGTTAGTGATTGCTGGTGAGTATCTTTGTGAGTTTTATAAGATCATCATGCATTGCCATTTCTACAAATCCCCCGGATTAGCCTTTTAAGGGATGTCTCTGTAACCCTTTTTCAGGTGTTCAAACGCCAAATTGTATCCGGCAAACGGTGTTTGATGCAGTGGAGCTGGATTATCCATATGTGACTGTCATCGCAGATGCCACAGCCGCTGCAACACCAGAGATCCATACCGGTAAAAACAGTCTTTTAGTGTTGGTATTTGTCTTTGTGGTTTAACAAAAATGATATTTAAGCATTGAATTAATGGATCAAACAGGAGAAAGATGGATGTAGCTATATTTCTATCAAATGACAAACAAACAAAAGACCTTTATGTTATAGAATCATGATATTTTGTATTGATTCATTGTAATTTTTAAAGAAAATGAACTAACATTGTCGTAATATGTTTTGGAACAGCGAATATTCTGGACATGAAGAATATCGGCGTCAAGACTCCTACATTACACGAGTGGTCCGAAGAATTTGCTTGAGTATTCGCATGACAAACTTCATCCTTAAACCCTTGTTGTATCTTCTTCCACCTCTTGTTTTTTGTTTGTTTTCCTTTGTATATTTGTAATTGAAGAAATGAATGAAATAAAGTAGAAATCTTGCACTTATTGTAGCAATTTTGTTTTTGTAAAAATTAATAACGTATCTCTTCAACTAATTGTATGCGGAAAATCATCATTTGATTAACGTGTGACATCTCATCTGCTAGAAAGTTATGCATTGAACTTGAAACAAATTAATAATTGTTTTTTTGTTATACAACAATAATTGTTTCGAGAAGAAAAAAACAACATTATTGATGATTAAAGGAGATAAGAAAGGTAACGTGGAGAAAGAGAGAAATGGAGGGTAATGGTTATCCTCACCTCATTGTCCTCTCCTCACTTTATTGCTTTCCCATCTCCACTTTGTTCCCTCTGATTTTGGCTCATTTTTCATAAAAATAAGTCAATCACATATATAAGATTTTCACTAATCTAGTAATATTCCAATTGATATTTAATAATCTTAGATAATACATTTCACCAACTCCTTTTGTAGTTTCTAGCACCCAAAACCCACTAATTTTAGACACATAAAAAGCTAGCTATAAAAAAAGAATAGAACTTTCATATTATTTAGTTGTTAGTTGAGAGAGACTGACATTGATTTCACTAGACACATTTTCTTTCTTGTCATTACATATTTACATACTTACGGTGGAGACGTGGAGTGCATGTACCTGAAATAATGATGCAAAATTAATTTAGTGTTGTAGGCCGGAAAAAAAAAAAGCGAAGAAAAGTGTATATTAATGGAGTAGAAAATACTTGACGGGACGTAATATGATTAAAGAAAAAGGTAGGGAAAATCTTTAGAGGATTTAGAGTGATGTAACACAGCTCATTTCATGATTACGAGGGACATTCTTTTGTGTAACCCTTAAAACAATGGGGGACTTTACAAGACAAGCTCCTCTTTCAGTTTCCACTTTTTAAAGTTAAAAGTTATTGATAAAATGTGGAAGTCTACCATTTTATTCCATATCTCATTAAACTGAAATATATTTTTCAGTTTAAGTGTTGTTAGAAAAAAGAGGCGAAGGCGAATATTTTTCACCTAAACAGTTTGAAAAGTTATTAGATCAATGTATATAACGAAAATAGATGTTATATTGTTTTTACACTGATGATTTAACGTTTGATTTTAAGATTTTTGATTCCGAGGATAGAATATAAAATGCAGATAAATGCGAGAATTTTTTGGAATAGGATAATAGATTGATTTCACTTATGAAATGATAGGGGACAATTGAGAGTTGAAAGATCAAAGACATGGTTCATAAATAAATAAAAAATTCAAAAGAAAAAGAGAGAGAAGGAATGAAAGGCACATAAATTTTCCTCTTTGTGATTGTAATTTTATAATTCTACTATAATTTTATGGTTATGGCGAGAGTCAAGGTTATGTTGTTGATCTATTGCACATCAGTAATAAAAATCATACAAAAACAATTACCAATGTCTCTAATTTTGATATTTAACGGTTTTACAAAGTTGTTGGCCAAAATAAAATTACTAATAAGTTATCTCCCTATGTGCATAACTGATTTCTTTTTATAAACGTAATCGTATTGGTTTATACTCTTTTATGCCTCACACTTTTGTTTTTGATGACATAAATAGTTAATTAAAAGATTACAAAAAGAAATACATATGAGGATGGATAGTCAACATTTATTAATTATCAAAGACTCAAACCAAAAGAAAAAACAAACTAGGTGAAAGTATCTCAATATAATTTGCGTCGATTAAATTCTCCAATTTCCTGGACCTTGTTGCAAACAATTATCATAATGGACTAATTGACAAGCAATCAAATAGCAAATTGACAAACAACCCAACTTCTAAATTTCAATAAACACAAGAGGAAGAAGACAATATAAGTAGCGTGCATGTGTGTAAATGGAGAAGGGATTTTAAACAGAGTAAAGAAAAAGAAGAGAGAACATTGAATAAGAAACAGAGTAGGTGAGATAAATGAGTCTGACAGAATAATATATTTATTTTGAATTTGAGGAGAAAAAACAAGTCTGAAATCTGACACATACCTCAATAGACCTTTCCTTCTTGAAGTAAGAAACGGAGGAAAATTGAGGAGTTGGCGTGTAAGTCAAGCAATCTTTGAATAATAATGTTTCAGGCTATTCACTTTCTACAGTCTTCTTCTTTTGGAAGTGTCCCAGAATTATCTTCGTCCACAATCCACACTCACTCTTTCATACTGAAAAACGAATTAAATAATTCAAGGTTGTAATGTTTTTATTGATTCACATCAATCTTTATACTGAAAAAACGAATTAAATCAATAAAGAAAGGTTATAATGTTTTTTTTGTGTAAATGTGGTTCTGTATAATGTTTTTACTCGTTATACCTTAACATTTGCCAAATGCAATGCATAGTGTCATAGGGACCATTCCTTTCGATTCTATTTTTGACAACTTTATTATTAACGTTGAAGAGTGAATAGTAAAAACAGAATTGTATGCTAGTATTCTTTTTGTTTTATCGACAGTGTTATGGGTTTCAGGTTTTTTTGTGTGTTTTGCAAATACATTTCTGTAGAAGTTGAGTGAATTAACAAGAAAAATAAATAGCTTATAAGTAACTTGTTTCTGTCAACGAGGTTTAGTAGCTTTAACTATCTGAAAATAACTAGTTATGATGATAACAATATAATAAAATGACATAATGATGTAGTAAAATAATAAGTTTGCCAAAAAGGAGATTGCAGAGCATCCAACACCCACGTGCAAGGCAAATGACCTTGTCACTCTCATCATTATGGCTTTTTGTTCACTTTTTGATTTTTAATAATCCCAAATATTATATATAAAGAAAGCATTTTAAAACAAGCAGAATATTCTAATTAAGGTTTTGTGTGATGTAAAAATAAAAATAAAAAATCTAAAAGTTATGTGTAGGTTAATTCAGGACAAATTTTTTAAGTGGTAATGCTTGGTTGAATTTTCGGATCCGTCTAACGACCATATCAATTTTTGTCAAAAACATCATATATGTGCATACTGATGAGAGTGATGGTCTTATGTTTACAAAGTAGTCCAACGCTCTATGGCTAAGTGTTCGTAGACTCGGGACAAGGTGCAAACTCATTTTTTCCCCAAATTCGACTCCCAATCGAATTAGAGAACCTTGATGTGTAAATATTGTTAGCTATTTTCTCGTTTGAGCTATAATTAGTTCACCGCTGAAATTAGTTGGACTTATCATGATACTGGCTGGTTGCATTGGTATGGTCATCGAAAAACAAACTGAATTACCTCATTTTTTTTCTAATTCGGTGTCGGGCATCGGATTTGCCAAAATTATTTTATTTTTTAAAAATTGACAATCACCAAATTGAGTAAACCTATAAGCCTTTGGTCAAAAAAAAAAGAAAAAAAAAAGAGAGAGTTTTATGATTTTTCTTGGGCCGACTCTTTGGAGATGTTGACTTATTAGTGATATTGAAAAAGCGAAGCAAAAGCTTTAAAATATGATTGCACTTACTTTCATGAATCATTACACCTTTTTTTCTTTTAAAATAAAGAGGAAATTAAATACACAAAAGTTTCAATTTGTCAAGAAAAGAAGAAGAGAGACAGCCAAAATAAAAGCTGTTAACCTCATGGGATGTCTTCCTTTCTCAATTGTTACTAAACTTTTGTGATGATTTTGATCCGTTCCTTTTATTGATGGGATATTGAAGCTAATTACATGGTTAAGCTTTTTTAGTTCTCGCAAATACTTAATAAGGAAATCATTTTTTTTCTTCTTAAGATTGAGAGAACTACACTATTTTGATTGGGATAGGCCATTTTTGAGAAAGAGGCATCCTAAAAGCGTTCTTAATTAAAATATAATATTACATTTAATAAAAAAAATTGGATCAGAATGAAGTAGAATGAAGATATCTGAATATATCTGAATATATGATAATTGATCAGAAAATAAATGTATTGTAGTAGTGTACGGAAAGAAATGTCATTTCAAAGATAAGCATTCAAGAGTTATGGAAAATTCGTTGATATAATTTATGTGAATGTCAAAAAGAAAAATTCAACTTTCTTTAAAGTACGAAATGAAAGGGTATTTACCTTACAGGTTAATCAGTGTTATACCCTTATTCAGATACGTGTACTGAGATATCCGACCCGAGGGTTTGTATAGTATATATAGCTCATGACATGTGAGCCATCGGTAGATATTTTAATTAACTGCACTCCGGTTCGTGTTTAGCTCTTTTTAAGTAAATTATGGACCACTGCAAAGTTGAATGTTGACTATATTGTTTCTTATATACAATATGGACCACTGCAATGTTGAATGTAAACTATACTGTTTCTTATGAGAATGTATATGTATGAATATGTACGTACGTTAACACATTTATACTTTGTAAAAAACGCATTTTTCCTGGCACTGATGTTTCAACTTGAAATTTAGCTAGAGAATGAACACCCATATGAAATCACAAAGTGTCGTATGTACGCCAATAAAAACTTCACTCTTAAATAAATAAATAAAAACATTATGATAATTGATAATATCTTCATTTTTGTATGGGTCCCATGACCATATGATAATAGTTTTATAATATTTGCCTTGAGAAAGAGAAAAAAAAGATTATTTAAATATCCCCCATTTATTATTGCTCACTCGTCGCAGAAAACAGAGATTCCTCGCTGTCTGAACTGAAATAAGATCGCATTAAACTCAAAGCGCTCACAAAGACAAAGATTTTCTTCCCATTTTCTTTCTCTTCTCTTCGATCTCTCTGAGCTGAAAGGTAACAAATGGAGAACCCTCCGGATCAAACAGAGTCAAAGGAAATTCTTCGACCCAGAACCACAAGACCAAAGGGTGGCCTTCTCACTATGCCCTTCATCATTGGTAAACATCCCAAAATCTCAACTTCGCTTTCTCTGTGAAAAACCCAAATTAATCTCTCTGTTTTCTTACCATCGATCGATTCGAAAGTCTCTGACTTTCTTCTTCTTCTTCTTCTTGGTGGGTGAAGCAAACGAGGCGTTCGAGAAAGTGGCGAGCTATGGATTAGTACAGAACATGACTCTGTATCTGATAAGTGATTACGGATTGGGAGTTGTGAAAGGACAATCCGTGTTGAACATGTGGCTCGCTTCTTCTAATTTCATGCCTCTCGTTGGAGCTTTTCTCTCTGATTCCTATTTGGGTCGCTTTCTCACCATCGCCATTGCCTCTCTCTCCAGTTTCCTGGTAAACATTTTCGAACCGATTTTTGCTTCTTCTCTTTTTCGTTTTTAATTTTTTTTTCGGTTTACTCCGGTCCATTTGCAATTCCGTTTAATAGTGGCATTTCCTCGACACATTACTTACTTACTGACTCACCTGTTAGACTTCGGGTTGAAAATGGTTTGTATGTAAAAATATGGTTTTTTAATCAAATACGGAGGGGACTTTAGGTTGGTTTTTACTAAATTTGGAAATCAAAAACCGAGATATTCGGTTTAGATTGATTTGGGTGAAGTATCGTGTGCGTGTATTAAGAAGTGTTTTCTTACTCGGGACTTCGATAATTGGACTTTACTTGCGTCGATAATTGGTTCAAATTCCGGTGACAGTTTTCATTTTTCGATAATTGGACTTTACTTGCGTCGACAACAAAAGAGAATTCAATAAAATCTAACAGCCATAGAATTAAGGGCCTGGAATTAAATGGTACGAGGTTTTTTCTAGTAATTATTTATTTATTTATGTATCAAAATTCTCGAAAATTGTCATTTTTTTCGTCTTATAAATTTCAGGGGAAAATTAGTTTTACTACTAAATAATTACCATTTCCTGAATCATTAAATAGCTGCTTATTTTCTTAAGTATAAAACATTTATGGTTAATATGCTGATATTAATAATCATGTACAGTTGATTTTAAAATTATCATATGCCTGAATCACTAATGGCTGCTTACTTTGTTTTAAGAACGATTAATAGCTGCCTAGTTACTTAAGTATAAAATATTTGGGCGGGTTAGTCTACTGATATTAATAATCATGTACAGTTAAATTTCTATTTTAAGAGTTATATGATTAAGCTTTTAGAAGCCTCTTTCCATTAAGAGTCAAAATTTTCACATGTTGCATGTGCGACCCTGAAATTGCTGTCCAATGAATGAAAACTAAAGTACTTTATCCTTTTATATTGGTTTCCATTATAATACAAAATAAAAATATATCAAAGTCAGTAAAATTTAATTCAAAAGCCAGGTGTTCTGAAATGTCCATGTGATTATAAAATAACAGGTCTGCAATAATCATAAAAGTAGTATTAATATAATATCATTTTTATTAATTATTCTTTTTAAAACCTGGTTGCTTTCCTTGTGGTTGTGGCCTTGTGGGCTTCCTCTGGCAAGGTGTGATTGTGAGTGACCACACTGCTTAAACTCTATAACAAAGAAATATTATTTCTTACTACGAATTTATCACTGTTTGTTGAATTGAATTTCATTATTTATTTATGATCCATATACATATATGGGTGAAGCTGACGTGGACCCACATCTTCCACAGTTTTAGGATTTGACATAAGTTTTGGCAAACATAGAAGTGTTAGGCTCAATTGGTGACCCATGTCTTTGTACTAGTTGTCCCATTCTTGATCATAATTTTATTTCCCCCACTTGACAAAACCTTATCATAGTATATCGTGACATCAATCATTTTCCTTTAGAACAAAATGTTTTTGTATGATTATAACAACTGACATGTATATAGATCTGATACTAAAATTCGGGTTCTTGCTCTTGGAAGTATTATAGTAGGACAACTTAATTACAATGTAGTCCTTGGATTCTATAGTAACTAGACAATCTTAATAATGCAAAATTGGGTATAAACGTTACAGGGGATGGTGGTTCTATGGCTAACGGCGATGTTACCTCAAGTGAAGCCATCACCGTGTGCCGGAACAAACTGTGTTTCCGTGGGAGCAACGTCTTCTCAGTTGGCTCTTTTGTACTCAGCATTTGCACTTATATCTATTGGATCAGGCGGAATCAGGCCGTGTTCTTTGGCCTTTGGTGCTGATCAATTGGACAACAAAGAGAATCCCAAGAACGAGAGAGTTCTTGAGAGTTTCTTCGGTTGGTACTACGCTTCTTCATCTGTTGCAGTCTTGATCGCTTTCACTGTCATCGTCTACATTCAAGATCATCTAGGATGGAGAATCGGGTTTGGAATACCCGCGATTCTCATGTTGCTCGCGGGTATTGTGTTTGTTTTCGCGTCTCCTCTCTACGTTAAACGCAATGTGACCAAGAGCCTGTTCACTGGTTTAGCTCAAGTGGCTGTTGCAGCTTACGTGAACAGGAATCTAACTCTACCGGATCATGATGACTCCTATGGTTGTTATTACCACTTGAAAGATTCTGAACTCAAAGCTCCAAGTGACAAACTGAGGTAAAATGAAATCTATTTTTCATATACATATATGTAGTTCTTGGTTGGTTTCTTGAATTTTGACACACTATTGCAATTGATTATTAGGTTTCTGAACAAAGCTTGTGTGATAAGAAACCACGAGGAAGACATTGGATCTGATGGTTTGACCTTAAACCCATGGAGGCTCTGCACAACGGACCAAGTTGAGGAACTCAAGGCATTGGTCAAGGTGATACCAATATGGTCCACAGGGATAATGATGTCCATAAACGTTAGCCAAAACGCGTTTCAGTTGATTCAAGCTAACTCAATGGACAGACGTTTGAGCAACAACTCCACTTTCCAAATCCCAGCTGCATCTTTCGGTATGTTCACTATCATAGCCTTGATCTCATGGGTCGTTCTCTACGACCGTGCAATCCTCCCATTAGCTTCCAAGATCCGAGGCAGACCGGTTAGGATCAGTGTCAAGATCCGTATGGGATTAGGGCTATTCATATCTTTCTTAGCAATGGCGATTTCCGCAACTGTTGAGCATTACAGAAGGAAAACAGCGATAAGCCAAGGACTTGCAAATAACGCCAACGCAACAGTGAACATCTCAGCGATGTGGCTCGTGCCTCAGTATGTGCTACACGGCTTAGCAGAGGCCTTGACGGGGATAGGACAGACAGAGTTTTTCTATACCGAGTTTCCTAAAAGCATGTCGAGTATAGCGGCTTCGCTGTTCGGTCTTGGAATGGCAGTGGCTAATGTCTTGGCTAGTGTGATCCTCAATGTGGTCAAGAATAGCTCAAAGAAAGGCAAAGAGAGCTGGATTGAAGATAATATCAACAAGGGTCACTATGACTATTACTATTGGGTTTTAGTGATCTTGAGCTTCGTTAATGTCGTGTATTACGTGGTGTGTAGCTGGTCGTATGGTCTCACGATGGATCAGGTGAGGAATGATAAGGTTAATGGTGTGAGAGAGGAAGAAGGGGAAGAGGTTAAATTAAACTAAGATCCTATTGGTTAATGATTCATGGTGTGTTATATAATCTTATATATTTGTATGTATGTAATTAGATTATATATATTTTATGGATTTGGATTTAGGAAGTAGAGGATTATATTAATGGGTGTGTTTATTTCTTATAAGAAAAGAAAAAGCCATTGTTGTGTGTATGATATTTGATTAAAGAAAATCAAATTTTCCAAACGGTAAATCTATGTTATGAATCATTTAAATTTGAGGAAAAAAAATCAAAGCTTACTAAAGATTAGAAACAATGTGTTTGACTTTGACTCCAAGTGGGGCCATCCACAACCTTCCTGTGGCTATGATTTCTCCATCGGTTTCTCTTCTAATCTCAATCACAGCTGATTTTAACCCTCCATTGATCCCCTTCACTCTTGCTTCTACTTCCACTTTTTCCTGCAAATTTATCACATCTTATTTAATACATTCATATTTTGTAATATAATGTCAGAATTTGACCCAATCCCCTTAGAGCATTTGCAATCAATGAGAATGGGAGAAACGAAAATCATGCAAGCAACAATAATGACTGTTTTATGCAATAAATCACATTTACCTAAAGTTAGTAATTTTCTAGGTGTTTATCTAATTTACGATTACCATGCAAAAATGTTTACTAATCTCACGATTTCAAATCTTGCTTGATCATCTGTTGTCTTTTTAATTTTCAATAAACATGTTAGATTAACAATAACACGAGAGAAACGAAAGGATAAGAAAGCGAACATGAATCTTGGCCGTAGAATAAAACGAAGAGTTGAGATCAACAGAGGAATGGAGTCCGTCGCCGGCGGAGTACACAGCAGAAGCTCCGATCGCGTCCATCACCGTCGTAATCGCTGCGGTGTGCCAAGTCCCATCCTCTCCCTGAGAATCACTCGAGCATCTCGGTCATTAAATAGTAAACAAAAAGAAAAAAACATCGATCAAAAGCTCTCTGAATTGAGTAAAATGTTACCGCGACTCGATCCGTGACGAGTAATTTACAACGTATGATTCCTTTACCGACATGGATGAGTTCTAAGCCTTGTAGGATTAAAACCTCTATCTCGCTAGGACCGATTCCTTGGGCTAACTCTTCTAGATACGACGTCGTCTTTGGGATCGTCGAATCTACCATACCTCCTCTTCTTCTTCGTCTTTCTTTGGAATTGAATAAATCACTTATAAAATGACTTCGTCGTCTTTCTTTGGAATTAAATAAATCACTTATAAAATGACTTCTGAGAGGGTATATCTGATCGGATCACTAATTAATTCACACGTTGAGTGGTGATTAGCCAACGCCAAATATTCAAATAAGTCAAGTTTAGCCGTGATTAAAAAAAAGACGTATCAAAGTCTATGGTCAAACTCTCCTCCTCTTCACACTTACGGTTTGTTCTTCATGGTAGATGAGCAGAGTAACACAAGCATATAATTAAGATTTACTTTCCAAATAGTTTTGTCTTGAGATGCTTGACCTTATTACATCAAATCAAATAATATAGAAAACTAAAAGAAGAAAATACATTTTTGCATATTGCGTTGTGTGTAATACTACTACAATCATAGAACCAAGAAGCAACCAGAGACATCCATGGTTTTATGAGAATTTACTTTTGATCATCCAGAGATTTCTTTAGCTCTTTCTTGTTCACCTGCAATTCGGAGAAAACAAAATATCAAAAACTGAGAGTGATTCTTATTATATAATACACCAAACAAATATCTCTCGTATCATTTAGTAGAAGGCTTTCAAAAGCTTTTAGTTACCTTTCCCATGGCGTTGCGGGGCAAGCTCTCCCATATCAGCAAACGTGTCGGTAGCTGAAATGAATCCCAAAAAATACAAAAATTATGAGCAAGAAAGTGAATAAGTTTACAGATTTTTGTGTGTTGTGATATCATCTTAGCAGATTTTTGTTGAGTACCTTGTAAGGAGCAAGTTTGTCTTTAGCCCAACCGCAGAGTTCTTCTAAGCTCATCACAGGTTTTGACTCATCTTCTGGTCTCTTCTTTGCTTCCGTCTCTGCTACAATTATCGCAGTAACTGCTTCCCCATAATCTTTGTCTGGTAACCCCAACACGCAACATTCTGCAATCTTAGGGTGCTGCATAACACAACGCACACATTTCAGTTCACGATTAAATTCTATCGGTTTAGTTATCTAAACTTCCATGACCCCCAAAACTCAAATGGATATTATGTTACCTCGAGAAGGGTTGATTCGATTTCTAAGGCAGACAATTTGTATCCTCCAACTTTCATAATGTCAGCGCTAGTGCCTGATTGAAACCAGCGAAGAGAAGATGTCAAGCGTAGGAACACAGAGGAACCATTAATAGTGTGTGGATATAATTTATGGTTTCTGCTTACGTCCTAGAATCACGTAATGTCCATCCTCATCCACTCTACCAGCATCTCCTGTCTTGAAGTATCCATCTTCCGTGAATGATTCTTTAGTCACTTCTGGAAGATTCCAGTACTCCTTGAACAAAGACGGGCTCTTTACACAGATCTCACCCACTCCATCTGAATCATTTTCATCTTCTACAATCTTAGCCTATAATATTTACAGACACTTTTTTTTTTCAGTATCAGAGCTTCGTATCTGATTATTAGTACTTTAGCTGTGTGGCAATAGTTAAAAGGTTTTGAATCTCAGACTTAAGAAAAGGAAGATCTTACTGACCTCCACACCGGGAAGCGGTTTGCCGACAGTGCCTGCCTTTCGTGCACCCCGTAAGGGGTTTGATATTGCCATTACAAACTATGAAGATTGAACCAAATCATAACTTAATTAGATTGAAGTATTTAACTACTAAGAACTTGTTTTTTCAAAGGTATTGAAGGATTCCAGGGAACAATGACATAAAGGTAACTATAAGAGACCGGCGAATCTATTTACCTCAGTCATGCCATATCGTTCCAAAAGACGGTGACCTGTGATACTTTCCCACTGATGCATGACCGGTCTAGGAAGAGCAGAGGAGCCAGACATCTAAAAATGTATATCATCAACAAACAAGTAAGCACTATTTTCACCAGAATTGGAAAACACAATAACCGTGTAAGGTTATAAATGATAATCATTAAGCTGTATTTGCGCTTCTCAGAGATATTTGGCTGCTTACCATTAGGCGAAGCTTCTGTGCAGCAAAAGCGCTCGGCTCTTTCATTTCTCGATCCATTGCTTCATAACCTTGTATCAACCGAGTATACATGGTTGGAACCTGTATATCAAAACATTCAGATACTTACTAACAATATAACCTTTTATAAACTTGCTATATCAGGTTCAAGAAAGGGCTTAGGCAGCAAGCAACAAACAATTAACTTGAGGCAGAGATAGCTAGACCATGAAATAGTATTATTACGGAATAAAAGCAAACCCAAAAAACTTACTCCGGTAAATACAGTTATGGCGTCTTCGGTCTTCTCATCATTCACCGGGTATGATTCACGCCATCTGCGCCAGATTCCACTAACACTAAATTTGGGCAAAAACTCAACCTTCAAAGAGGAACGTAAACATCAATAACAAGCCTGATGTTTTCTGAAGTTAATGTATTTTGATAGAGCTAACCGAAGCAAATATGGATCTTATAATTTACCGAAGACCGCGCGTAAAGAGGAGCAAATAAAGCATTGAAAAGTCCATGCACGTGATGTAGTGGGAGGCAGTGAAGAAAGCAATCAGCAGATGTGTACTCCCACGCTTCAGTTAGCATTCTAACCTGCAACATTTACAAGCTTATTAGTTACATCGAAATTTTTGCTTACTCATTGGAGAGACAGAGGAATACTTGTAATGCTCAGAAAAGAGATCACATTTTCTATCAGTTCCATATATGCAGCCACATTCTAATACAGGTCAAGTAGATTTTAAACGTGACGCAAGCTACATAAGGAAGTTAGATTTATACCTGGGAATTGATGCTTTTATGCGTATGGACAACTCCTTTTGGTTTACCAGTTGTACCACTAGTATAGACGATCAATGCTGGATCATCTGCAAAAATAATGACTGATGTGATGTAGAAAAAGACAGACCAATAATGCTTGAATGTAAGGTGGCAGAAATTAAAAGAGCAGCCTTAAATATAGTCATGATTTCTAATATATACAATCCTACCTAGAAGTTTATCTTCTCCTTCAAAAATGTCATCTTGAAACTGATTGTGAGTAACAGTTTCCGAAGTTGAGTTAACAACAGAGGGAATCAGAAGAAATCGAGCGTCACTCTTTTCTGCGACAGTTTTCATAGTCTCACTATGGTCCTCCGTACTCAATAACACAGATATATCCTAAACCAAAGACAACAATATATAGCCCCAGAAAATTTGAATAACTTATATTACAGAGTTAATAGCAGCATAAGGCACACTCATTTTGCTAAGCTTGAATGTGGTAAAAGATCATCACTATAGAAAGGACTACAAACTAGCAGGAAGGGTCAAATATCTCAAGCAAAGTAAAGAATTAATTTTAAAGCACAAGAAAACAGGAAGGCAAATAGATTTCATACCGAATTATTCATAACATATAAGAGTTCAGCCTCTGGATAGCTGAGTGCAAGTGGAACTGCTACGCCACCACTAAACCATGTCCCCAGGACACCGGCAACAAACTCAGCTGAAGGTTTTGCCACAATTCCAACTCTAGCTCCTTGGAGACTACCAAACCCTTCATACTTCTTAGTATCACCTCCCTAATACAATGTAGAGAATTCCAATAACCAGAAACCTGTTAGAGGCTTTGTTGAAGTAGACAATAGCTACAGTTTCAAACCAATTACCATACATTTGTAGTGTCGTCGCTGAGGAACAATCTAGATATTCTCAAGGCAGACGATGTTAGCTGGCCATAAGAGTAACTCTTCCCATCGGCTTTAATCGCTATCCTATCACCGGAATTAGACCCTTCTGAAAAAGCTGCTTTAAACACTTCCATGAGTGAACCAGACTGTGAAGCTGCATCATCATTGATTACATAGATAATTTCAGGTGACAGTATCGCCGAAAAATATATAAAATTTAAAATTAATAAAAAATTGGAAACGAATTGTAAAAACAAAAGGGATGTTCAAACAAGAAATCCAAATAAAGAAAGAGAAAGATGTATTCCCTCGAGATGCTGAAAATGTTTAATATTCAGATCAAAATAACATATTGTTTTGTTCTAGGGATCATTAACGTTATATATCGAAAGCACGAGTCTTTAAGACATTTCGTCGAACATGTAACATGCGCGATAAAAAAAAAACACACGCACGAAGGAGAATACACAGCAAACTAAAAGAAGAGCCAGATCATAAGTAATCACCGGGGAAAAATTGGGATAAAGAGAACTTACAGAAGAGATGGTTGGATTGGAAGAATCGAAACCCAGAATTCAAAAACGAAGTAGCTGGCTGGAATCGAGGAAGACGACAGGACAAAATTGTGGAGTTGTGGAGCCAAGGGTTAATGAAAGAGAAGTAGTTGAACCTCTTTAATGTAGCGGTCATTTTTAGGTTGGCGAGTTATGTATGGTTCGTTAAAAATATTGAAATTTTCGATCAAAGGTTTCGGCTTTTTTCGTAGTCGTACAGTCAAATTACGTAGCCGTTCATCTTAGGTTGCAATCGCGAAAAAATAAAAGAAGAGCCTTTCGTTGGATCATCAAATAGCGACTGAAACGTTGGTGACGCGACTTTCTCCGAGTTTTCAACGAGTGTTTTGCAGAGAGAATTCGGCACGTGCGTGTTTTTGGCTGTTATGAACAAATACTTAAAAGTGGCAGTTTTTTTTCTGTCGTTTTATTTCTTGGGATGATGTCTTGAGAGAAATGAGAAATGGGGAGTTAAGCACTTTTTATGTTTGTAATTAGGAGTACTAATTAGTGATGTAGTGGTTAAGCACTCTGCCACTTGTCTTTTCATTTATTATGTCGTAATTTTTTTTAAGTGAGACCATCAGAAAGTTTCAGCTCCATTGCTGTAATCCTAACCGTTGATATTAACAATTGTGCTACTTAGCTAACATCTTACAGACATGCCTTGGTTTAAGCTTTAGAGTAAGCTTTCATTTAATGCCAACATGCAATTAATGTCTTCAATCAAGTGCTTCCCACCCTGTCTAACTTCGGAAATAAAGTGAAAAAAATTATCACAACTGTTTGACTAAAATGAAAAGTAATAACATAAGACTTATACCTTAGAAGAAAAAAAAAAAAAAGACTTATACCTTATGAAAAACAAAAGACTTAGTTGATTGAGTTAAGTCAAATTTTATGTCATGCCAACATGCCATACGAAGTCAATTTTTATTTGCAACTTATTAAATTTGAAAGAATACCGTATATACTCTATCCATTTCTTAAAAATATCAAGTTAATACATTTCACAAGAATTAAAAAAAAACTTTAAAACATCCATGTTAATTAATTAAAAAAATATACTACTAACTAAATTCTAATGTTTTTAAAGTTTTTTTTCTTTGATTAAGAGGTAAAGTGGAAATTGACTTTAAAAAAAACAGATCTTAAACTAGAAATGTAAAAAGACACATATATTTGTGATACAAATGCAATATATAACCTATTAAATCCAAATAAAAATATAAAAGCATATAATTAAATAAAAATTAACGGATTATGTGATAGACGAAAAATAAAATAAATTTATAATTATTAGAAAAGTTCGTTCTGTAATAACAATTTTTTAAAATGATTAAATATTTTTTGTAAAAGAAAAAATGTAAACAAATTATTTTGGTCAAAAACAAAACAATGTTTAAAGTAACTTTAAACCATCATGGACTGAAACGATCCGCCAATCGAACTAGACGATCCACGAAATTTAAATAGCCCAACGGCCCATGTAAGATTGTAAGGCAATTAAAAAAAAAAGTATCTCCACTCTCAACTCTCCACTCTCCCTCATCTTCTTATTCTCGTTCCCTCCAAGATCACTCCCTCGAGATTTTTGAACTTTTGTTTTATGTTTTTGAACCTTCGATTTTGAACTTTTGTTGTTCTCACAAAAACCGTTTGGTTTCCGGGAAAACTCTAGATTAGGATCCAGCAATCTATTTTGTTCTGATATCCGTCAGCCATGGCGGCGATTCTCCATGCACTGATCTGATCCGACGATTTCTCACCTATCATGCTGAAATCGGTACGCGGAATCGAGGGAATCGCTTGTGTAGCGGCTATGTGAATGATCGATATGATATGTAAAGTAGATTCCGGCGCGATTGCGACAAAGAAGAACCCTAGGGAGCTCGTTTTCACCAAATTAGAGTTATCTCCCGTCGTTCTGGAGTCGCCAGTCAGAGAACTTGCTCTTTTTCCTCCGATTTCTCGGTATTGTTCCAAGTTTTTGCAATTTTCCGTACACTTGCTTTTCGTTTGAGTAATTTCGTTCGTTCCAGAAGATGTCAGATCATTGTTTCGTTGGAGATTCAGAATCCTGTGCTAAAGTTGTCTTGCTCTATGATCTTTATTGTTCTCTAATTTTGAAGCAGGGAGCCTTTAGCAACTCCAGGAACAAAGGATAAAACAGATCAGGAAGGCATTACTTGGAGGAAGCACAAAGGATGTCGCTGCCGGCAGTCCAAATGTTTAAAATTGTAAGATTGTTTCAGTAATCTCTTTAGCATCAATGAACTAGTATTGTGCTAATCCTGATGCGAATCTAATGTTGAATTGATCAAGCTGAGAGAGTTTTCTTACTTCGTTTGCTGTAGAACAATTAGAGATGCTATGGATTGTTGGATGTTTGTTTGACAATACGTCGCTTGGTTATTAGGTACTGTGACTGCTTTGCATCAGGAGTGTTATGTAACGACTGTGATTGTGGAGATTGTCATAACAACTCTAAGAACTGTGATCTCAGAGAAGCAGCTGTGATGAGTGTGCTAGATCGCAAACCAAATGCATTCAGTGAAAAGCATTTCAGCAGCAAAATTGACAAGCAGGTATGTTCTTCTAACCTATCACTTTGTGAGACTGAAAAAAGAACGGTAGAATATTAGATAACACTGGACATCTACTTGCCGTAGGTTTAACCTTCATAGAGGCAATTTTTTCACATCCTTTTTCTGATTTGTAAGTATTTTGAATTATCTGCCCTTTGTATTGTAGTATAAGGCTGCACCTGATACTAAACTTGGAGTGCTTTCGAGAGGCTGCAAATGTAAAAGAACCAAATGCTTGAAGAAGTATTGTGAATGCTTTCAGGCAAACCTTCTGTGCTCAGACAACTGTAAGTGCATCAACTGCAAGAATGTTAGTGAAGAGATCCAGCCTTCTGTTTTTGCCTGGACATTCAACAACAGGAATCTCTCTGAAAGTTATGAGAAGCCCGATAACAATTACCATGTAAACGATCTAGGAATCATTTCTACTAACAGAGACAATATCGGCTTCAACAGCCACAATACTGCTGGTCGTATGAATTATGCTCCTGGATTTTCTGCTCATAATTCCCTACAGGTATACCGGAGGAGAAGATACCAAGAGGTACCTGAGGCAAGTGAAAATCACAACCTGCTTCACAACATATATGCACTTTTCGTTTTATATCCACAGACTCATTTTCTCTCTGTCCGGAACAGCAGCGGAATTCTTGTCCAGCTCCTTTAAGTTCGATACCTGACAATTTCATTCTAAATTCTCTGGGTTCCCCTATGTATAGCTCTCCTAAACTCCCTTACAGGTTCGCTTTTTGCATTTCCTAAATGATATTTTCTCTTCCTTTACCTTATAGTCAGGATATTTAACTGGATTTTTTTTGTAACATCAGAAAGAAAAGGTCGCGGTTGGGATATACTACCACAACACGTCTTCCAGACTTTGGAGATATACGCTCACTTCTCTTAGCAGCATCTGAATCTGCTATAGCCAATGCAGGTATCAACTGTTCTTAAAAAAAAAAAAAATCGACTTTATTAGATCTACCATTCTGTTTTGCTTGGTTTCATCAACACACTTCTTCTAAATCCTCACGACTATTAGCAGTCAACATCCCAGTGTTGGAGCAGCAATCAGACCAGAACAGGATATGCAAAAAGCCTGATGATAAGGAAGATATCAATGACAATGAGCTATCGAATGAGTCTGAGAGCAGTAATGTGGAAGATGATATACAATCCTGTGGAAGATTGATCGAACTGATAGATGCTCAATACAACGGAGAAGAGGATTCCCACTATAAGACCAAGAAAAGTGGGCATGATACAGATATATACATGGAGCAGGAAAGGGCAGTGCTTGAAACTTTCAGAGACTGTCTCCACAAGTACATCAAGATTAAATTCATAAAAGGTACTAATTCCATCTCATTTGATAATCTCTGCTATAAATCAACGATCACTCTTCATTCTCTCCATCGTCAGAGCCTAATTACTACCGCTTTTAGTTGCTAATTGTGACAGGTCATTTTCATTCAACAAGGAGAGAGCTGAACCATAAGTACCCATGAATCAGAGACAACTCAAGAAATCTTAAACGGGAAATGACAAAATAACACACATTAATACTGGACTGGAGATAACCAAATATCTAAATTTACTACTCCATGTTTATGATGAATAACCAAACCAATAGACTATAATGATTGCTTAAGACCACACTAATCAAACACTAAGACATCATTTAAAAAAAATCTAACCATTTCTCACTCCCACATGGCAACCTCCATGAACCCATCCTCAGTTGCACATCCCCTGAACATCCCATTAGAGTTAAAACCACAAACCACCTCTCCTTTATTCGACACGGCGATGAGTCCAGCGAAGCCTTCGTCGAGTCGATGCTTGATGACGTAATCAACCGCTTCCTGAAGTCCAAGCCCTTTATACTCCATAACAGCCGACACGTCACGAGCTAGCGTCGACCTTATGATAGCTTCTCCTTCTCCGGTACAAGAAACCCCACAGAGCTCAGACGCATACGTCCCGGCTCCAATCAGCGGCGAGTCTCCGATCCTTCCCATCATCTTGTTCATGAGACCACCGGTGGATGTCCCGGCGGCGCACCGTCCTTCCCTGTCCACCACAACGCACCCGACTGTCTCCGGCGCGTAAATGCTGATCGGAAGACCGTTCATCAGTATCGGACTTTCCGTAGCGGCGGCACCGGCGCATCCCATCGGCGGGATCCGGTAATCAAACTGGATATAAACAAAACAAAAATTGACCGGACGGTAAAAGACGTGCGGTGAATAAATGGACGGTGGAGATTAAGTCAAATCGTATACCAAGATGGAGTTAGCTTCCTTGGCCAACTTGAGCATCCCTACGTTGTCGTCCGTAACAAAGTACTCGTTGTCCACAGTTTCAACACCCTATTCATAAACCATTCGATTCCGGTTAAGCGAAAAATTTAAACCGAATGGTTAAGAATAAGTTGGAGTAATTAGTAAATAAGAGACCTGTTTGCGGGCGAAATCCTCAGCGCCTGAGAAAGCAAGGTAAGAGTGGGAAGATTTGTCCATGACGAGGCGTGCGAGAGAGATTGGGTTCTTCACGGTGGTTATACCGGAAACGGCACCGCATCGTCTCCTCGTACCGTCCATAATGCTAGCTTCCATCTCTACCGTCCCTTTCTCCGTCAGAGCAGATCCACGGCCTGAATTGAACAGAGGATCTGTCTCCAATTCTCTCACCTGTGTCGTCGTCAATCATTAAATAAATAAATTCAACAAAACCACCATTGGGTAAAAAAAATTATCAAATTTAAGATTAATTGTGTAAACGTACGACGAGCTCAACGACGTCAATAGCGGAGACATTGGAACGTAAAGCTGCTATGCCGAGGCTGAGACAGCGAGTCAAGAGCTGTTTCGCCTCTTCTTGTCTCTCGACGGGAAGATTAGGGTCGATTCCGGCGCCACCGTGTACTGCGATTGCCCACCTGCCCATTGTCTCTCTTTCGATCTCTCTCTTTCACAAGGTCTCTCACAGTTTTGCACCTTTAATTTAATTTAACCGAGTTTGATGGGAGAAAGGAGGAGAAGCATTGGGTCCTTTATATAGGCCCTTACGAGGAAAGGTGGACCCACATTTAAGGGAGTGGGGTCAGCTTCTTCCACGTTATATATTTTACGTCTTATTTGGTGGTATATAATCTTTTAATTGAATTTTATAATGTTTTTTTCCCCTATTTCTCTTCTTTTTTTTTCTTTTAAAAGAAAAATCACCTTCCGCAATTTTTTGTTTCCTTTTCAGTTTCTTTTTGTCAACCATTTCCTTTTTAGCCAAAATATGAAACTACCAATCAAAATACAGTAGATACTAATAATTAAGACATTTATGACATCACTCATCATATTTAAAGAAAAAAATCATAATCTTCGTATATCTGTGGGATACTTTCCATTAAAAACAAATTTGGTTAACGAATACGTTTCATAGATTCAAAATTTTTGTATCCCAAAAATCGCAAACCAAAACAAAAGAGTCAATAGTAGTTCTCGATCGGAACCTGCAATTGTATGTTGAATATCCACACCACTACACCAGTTTTAATGTTATATAACATGCATGTGAAGTGAGCGATTACTAAACTATTGATTACTTATAAGTTATAACTTATGATGCATTCTTTGGACTTGTTTTCATTTCGTCTTATTATACCATGCAGAAGATGATCAATTTTTAATAATAAGATTTGTTTGAGAGATATAACTAATTCTCACAACTTGTGAACAAAAAATAAATAACTTCATGTTGGCACGCATGCAACTTCCCTTTTTTGTTTAATCAATTATTTTCTTTTCCCGTGTTTCCGTATGCTTTTCGTCAATTAGGTGCTAATCAACGTCAATACTGATACCTCAATATTATGTGTAAAGTCTATCTTGTGTTATTTCGGTCCAACTCGACAGGATTATCAGAAATTTTATTTTTCTATTACTAATGTAATGTAATTGTATTTGTATGCATCACATATTCTCCCCCTGAGATGTATCGGATCCGTTTTTTTTTCAGCATATGCATCGAAATATTCATTTTTTTACGTCATTCACCCAAAACATTTATGTCCTCATAGTCATATGCACCGAATCTATACAAGTCTCCATTGGAAACATAATTAAGTAATCTTTATTATAATACTTCTTGGTACGTAAGCACGAGAAGTTATTGATGGCATGGCACAGTATATATTTGGCAACCCGCCTGGTTTCCTACAGATGAATGGTATAGGCAAAAAGGAATAAAACGCTCTCTTTACTTCACAGAATATAGTAATTTACAGTTGCCCACATGTAACAACTAAATATAATGTTTATCAATAAAAAAGAGAAATTACTACATACGCATATTTTATAGTATTTCCTAATTCCAAAATTGCATTATCATAGCAAACCAATGATATTGTATAAATTTTCATTTAGAAATGTCAGATACATTTGCATAAGAAAAATATTCTACATGGAACCCTAAAAAAAAACTTAAAATTTAAATTTTTGTAAAAAAATAAGAGATGATTGTTTTACTATATACTTTATGGCTTTAAAAATAGTTTAAAAAAGTTATTCGGTAAAAAAGTATTCATTGTAAAAAAAAACAGAAGAATTTACATTTTTAAATTAAAAATACTGATCATCTTTTTGTTTTTGTTAATTGGAGTAATAGATTAGAAGAATATTGGAATAGATTGATTGGTCTAATGGTATAATGATTCCCAATGTAACTCGATTCGAACTTCAAGTGGGGGTTGATAATAAAGTAGTTGTCGCACGCACTTAATTGCTAGCAATGAGCAGGATCCGATGCATTGGCAAAGGTTCTTTACCAAAAAAATGGTTATTTACCGCCGGATTTGTGTCTAAATATGTTTAAATTATTGGTGGCCAGTTACATCTCTCTGTCTCTCTGTCTCTCTGTCGCTCTCTCTCTCCACAAGTTTGGAATCTCCGAGATTTTCTATTCATGTGTGGAAAAGGACATAGCCTAGTGACTTGAGTTGTGGATTCCAATAGATTCCGTCACGTGACAAACCCCAATTAGAAGACGTCTCTTTTCTTCTCTCTCTTTGCCTCTCCCATGTCTTAGGGGTCAATTAGATCCCCCCACTCTCGTGGAATTTTGTCCTCTCATTCATGTTTCGAAAAATCAATTTTTGATTGTACTTCAATGACTTCTTTTTATTGAGAAATACTTTAAAATATCCCTAAAACTATTAATTAGTTCAAGAAAGAAGACGATATTTGATTTACTTGACAAATGTTTTAGACCTTTCTGTTATTTTTCTTCTTTTTTGAAAAAATGTATTTTGTAAAAGACTTTTTCGTCTAGTTATTTTTAGAATTAGTCATGACCCAATAACTGTATATATTTTTTTAACTTCTTAATTTTTGTTTGTTCACCAATCTCACTTTACATTTTATTTTCTGATTTTTTGTCGAACGTCTAAATATATCAATTTCAATTTTTTTTTATTAGGCCATTTTCTATCAGTGAACTCCACTTGCTCTCAAAAGTCACAGCTAAACCTTCCAGAGCTTTACAATCAAGTTTTTTCCAATTTTTTTGTTCTTTCTCTATTTTACGTACATTGTGTGTGCGTGTAAAGTAGTTGTAGGTTAGCACGTATTGCTGGCGACTAGTAGTACTCTATGCATTATAAAATTAGTGTTTATAGTTGCGGGGAGATTTGTGTTCAACATTTAAACAACATCAGGAGCTAGAACCGTTTTTTTTTTTTAAAAAAAGGGCGTTTCTAGCTTATACTAGGCCACCATTGAAACTAGATTATATCCTATTTTTTGTAATCGATGATGATTTGTGAAAACTCTTATTTCTTCCACCTATTACATTGATATACATAGATTGTGACACGAAGTATCATCATATATTGTAGGAAACGAAAATGATGTTGCCATTTGCCACCAGCGATAGAAGCCAAATTTCGCATAGTGCATATCTTCTTTTCATCTCCATTTTAAAGTTGATCTTGCTCTTGAGTAAAATCTTGCTTAGCTAGAGCATATATCATTACATTTGCTTTATGAGGAATGTACTTAAAAGAGAGAATTAAAACGTTAAAATAGAAATATCCGAAAAGATCCTATGTTCCTCGATCTGTAAGTTATGTATTGGTGGAGATAGCTCCAATCAATTTGCTACGAGTCTGCTTCAACCGTGCCATGTCTTGTTGTTTTGCGTATCGCAAGTCCTTTTGCTAACATCTGAGTGTTAACAAGCGTCATAGTTTTTCGAGTGGTGTGATGTTGAGCTACTTTGGTATCTTCTATCCAAACGTCATATTTGTTCTGCATAGATAAAAAAATGTTTTTCTGACTTGAAAAATCGATGGTAAGCTTTCTACACAGAGATTATTTATGTTTTTATTTAAGTTATTTTCTCGATACCAAGATCAGATCTTCGATAAACTGATAGTTCAGAAATCTATATTTGAAAAAAAAAAAGATCTATACGGTGGTTTAAGGAATTTGCAACCGACTGGGTTTCTTCTTATACGTAAAATGCATTTGGGCATTTTCCGAAATAAAGACAAAATAAGGGACCTCAAACAAAGCCTCTTATAAAGACAAAATGCGTTTCCAGTACATATGACACAGACGAAAGGAACTGTTTAAGTTAGATGATAGCCTTATCTTACTAGATTCCAACGTGGCATTTCCTAATTGGCACAAGTAAAATCTTCTAAGGGAGATCTCAGTTTGCCACGTCAGAAGAAGATAAAAATCCACTCATTTTGACCAAAGGCTATCTCCTAAACGAATTCTCCAATCAACACAACAAAAAATTAGTGATCGAAGCCCATGGCGTCTTTTGCAACCGTCGCCGCCGTCAAACCATCCGCCGCCGTAAAGGGCCTCGGCGGCAGCTCACTCGCCGGAGCCAAGCTCTCCTTTAAGCCTTCCCGCCTAAGCTTCAAACCCAAATCCATCAGGTAAATAACCATTTATTAATTTAGGTTTAAAATGCTTTTAAAATATAGGATTGAATTGAAAATTCATAGTTCATATTTGATAACATCTTAGAAATCCACTAAATTAAAAAAAAAAAAAAAAATTTGCTGAAGAAAGAGTGTATCAAACATGAATAACGACGAAAATGCTAAAGCATTGTTTAATTTTGGCATTGTTCCTCTCTTATAATCAATTAGCTTGGGGTTATTTTTCTTCTTTAATTAGGTCTGGTGCTGTTGTGGCAAAGTATGGAGACAAAAGTGTCTACTTTGACTTAGAAGATTTGGGAAACACAACAGGTCAATGGGACTTATACGGCTCCGATGCTCCTTCTCCTTACAACCCTCTTCAGGTTTGATTCTTTTGAAAAACCTAATTGGCAACGAAACCTAGAATATCTCTAACTATACTTTTAAGTTGTGGAAAGACCTCTTAGTCTTTTGCTATACTTGTAGAGCAAGTTCTTTGAGACATTCGCTGCACCATTCACAAAGAGAGGATTGCTCCTCAAATTCTTGATTCTTGGAGGAGGATCTTTGCTTACTTATGTCAGTGCTTCGTCCACCGGCGATGTTCTTCCCATCAAGAGAGGTCCTCAGGAGAAGCCTAAGCTCGGTCCTCGCGGCAAACTCTAATTTAGATCCACGCATGTTTGTTACCTTCTCTTCCTCCTTCTAATCTCAGAAACATATATTTCTCAATACTGCAAACCCTTTAAATGATTTATGTATATTCTGTTTCTCTGTTACATTTGAAACGTTTTGCTCTTCCTAATTTTACAAAAGATATCTTTGTTTTAAGAGTATCGCCCTGCGGTTGGACTCCTTGTGGTTCCAAGAGATTCAAGATAAGAAGTAGTCTTCTTGTTGTTAGCCATGATCATGCTTGACACTCTGGTCAACAGTTTCTTGCCTGAATCTTTGAATGGTGCATCGTTCTTTTCTTTCTTCGGTTGTTCAGGTTCTTCGAAATTCCATTGCATTACCTCTGACAGTGAAATGGGAGCCTTCTCCTTTTTCGGTCTCTCCTCTAAAAGACAAAAGTTTTGTTCTTCTTCCTTCTTAGGACTCTCTGCTTCCTTCACTATATATCTTTTACAAACCGCGGTTTCAGGGTCCTGTGTTAGCTGATCAGCTTCAAGAACATCTTCTATTCTCGACATTACCGTGTGCGCCAAGCTCTCAAGAACTCTCGAGTAACTCTCCAGTATAGCTAACCCTATATCCTGCAAAAAAAAACAGAATTTTATGAAACAGAACACCAACAAGTAAATGTTTTAATCGTGATTATTAAGAATAGGTTTTTGATTGATCATTACTTTGTTGAATTGTATCTTGCTGATGTCAAGTGTGGACTGAGAGATCCCTGGGAATCCTTGTTTGAGAAGAAGCAAGATGGTTGCTGCTCTTTCTTCTAGCAGTTGTCTCTTCTCCATACTCAGATTCGTACTAAATGGAGACGAAGACTTGTTGTCTTTCTGCACTATCTTTCTTTTCCATATCACAACCGAAGCTTCGAATTTTTTCTTTAGATCAAGAACCTTGTGCTCAGATGATAAATCCATTTCAAGAAGGAATTGCTCTGCATCAAATATGTCTAATGTTATCATTCTGTAGATCGTGTCACCAAGACTAGCCCTCCCATTCTGTAAAGACACACAAAAAAAGAAGAAGAAGGAGACATCGATAAGGATACCGAATCAAGAGAATGATTCTTGACGATGTGTTCAGGGTTTAGGGTTTATACCTTGGGAAGTGAGTCGATGTAGCTCTCAGGGATCTCCATCTGAGACAAGACTTCAGCGTTTATGGCCATTGCGGCTTTCAGAACTTGGCTCACACACTCTTTCTGACTCTGTAGAAATCTTTTCGTCGTTTCAGATAAGCCTTTAGGTGGAACTTTCACTGTCGGAAGCCACCACTTATCGTCATTTCTGGTCGTGTTGCTGTTTAAAGATTCCGGAGAATCGGTTGTGACGTAACAGAACTCATCCTGATCCTTGAATTTATCAAGACAATCCTGCAAAATTCGTTGACATTTAACAACCTTAGATCTTGTTGATGCAAATGCAAGAAAGCAATGTTTAAGTATCTCTTTTGACTTACGATGAGCATCGCATCGAGTTTCTTAAGAGCAGGTATATTGGAGACGAGATCTGTTCTCTGTCTCGTAGTCATTACCTTACAACACAAGATCCAGATTCAGACACGCAGAGAAATAAAAGCTTTGTTTGCTGTAAAACTAAAAGAAAGGTAAAATATTTATAGAAAACCTCCATGGAAGATCCATTCTTGTTTGTTTGCTGTGTTGGAGAGAATTCAACTATATGATCAGTAACGGAGAGAAGCCATCCGATTTCTCTTCTCCACCGTTTTTTTCTGTCCTCAGACATTGGCTCTAAACGCCGTTGCTCTCCAAACGCAGAAGCTGAAAGATTTGTGACTGCGTTTGATAATGCCAACGCTGACGAAACACCTTTGCCTCCTCCTGACATGTCTTCTCCTAGAAGCAATTTCGCAAACCTTTCTTTCATCTGCTCCTTTCCTGTAACACATGTAATGTGACATATATCATCTCAGTCTTATCTTGAAACCCAAGAAACATCAGGATAATTAATTTATTCTCCAATGAATCTATCGTTGGAACCTAAGAAACCTCATCTTATATAATGCAATAATAGAAGAGACTAATGAATCTGTTATTTGTAGTCTTAGCTTGCAGCCCAAGAAACCTCAGGACAACTCATTAATCTAAGACAAAATTTTAAACATGGATGCAACAAAATTCTCGCTTGCCTGCCTCTTCCTCTAAGTCTTCATCAGTTGCTTCACGTGGCTGAGGCGGCTCGTCCTTAGGCAGAGGGGGTCGAAGTGGTAACATTGGCCGGACGTTTGAGGCAACGGTTTTCTTGAAAACATTGTCATCATCAATGTCTGGATCTATAATTCTTAAGGCGGAATCTGAGTTCCATCTCTTGACGTGCCTTAATGATAAGTTCCTCTCCTTCTTGTTCTCGAGCAATCTCGAGCTTCCTTGATCTTGCTCAACCGCTTTCACCATTTCCATAATTTTCTTAAACCTAAGGAGAGGTTCTCTGTTTTTCAATCTCTCTGTTTTTTCCTCTTGGAACATAGAGGAGGAGTTTTTAGGCGGGAGAGACATAATGAAAGTAAAGAAAGAAACACAGAAGGAGCTGAGGTCTTTGATGTTTTTGCAGAGAATTAAGAAAACAAAGTTTTAAAACTAATGAAACCGTGTGGTAATAACATTCAAGAGCATGGCAAATCCAGAATAGCTGTTTGAGATTGACTTCTGTTTGATGCTTTTCTTTTCTCTTTTTTTTTTTTTTTGCCTCGTTTAATTACTAACTAACTAACCGATTAGTTGTCCAAAACTTCCCTCGAGTAATTCTCATTTACAGTTATGTAAACAACAAATTTAGGATTTAAGTTTATATTTTAAGATGCTTTGAAAACTATACAATTTAATTTTTCACTTTACTATTTATAAAATTGTAAACATGTAGCTATTTATGATGTAGTAGTTTATATGTTCGTATTATAAATTTACAAGTAATGTAAGCACTAAATTAAATTAAGTTATCATATTTGTACTTTCGGTTATTTCTTATTTCCCCCTTAAATATCTGTTTTATTTTCAATATAATCCTCATAATTAATCTCACAATTTTTTTCCCTACAACATCACAGATACCTAAAACGATATAAAAATCCAAACCAAAGAAAATTCATCTAAGATCTCACAGTTTTATTTTATTGATAACAAGATCTATTTCTTTTTTACACACACACACACACAAAAAAAAAAACAGATTCCTAACACAAACAAAGCTCCTCTCAGTCTCGGTTTCAAAGAAATAACAAAAAAAGAAATAGAAAACATGGATTTGGCTATAATTTAGAAACTAAAGAGTTACGCTTTTGAAGATGAGAAAGTCGAGGGTCCCCAAATGAAAAAAGATGAAAGTTCCTTTAGAATGTGTAAAGAAACACCCAAATTTTGATCCCACCACACATTGCCATCCACTTCCATACCTTTCATCAAACTCCTGATTTTTCAGAAGAAAAAAAAAAAAGAAATTAGCCACAGAGAAGAAGAAACGAGACAATAAAAAAAAAGAAGAACAAACAAGACTATAGAATGATATTCTTCTAAAAAAGCTAACCTTCTTGATGTGAGCAGCGATGGATTGACAGTCAAAGACATCAAAAAGATCGAGAGATTGAGAAGCAATGCCCATCGCTTGCATTTGCATCTTCACTGGCATATCTGTCTCTTCCACCTTCGCTTTCCCTTCCAACATCTTCTATTAATTATATTTTCCCTCTCTGATGAAGGCTCAAAAGTTTCTGATACAAAACATAAACAGAGTCGAAGCTAAAGATTCCTTTAATAACCAAATCTTTGAAGATAACTCGTAAAGAGAAAGTACAAATGAATCACTCTTTTCCACAAGAGAAACTCCACAATGTCCTGTCGTCTTATCTAACTAGGATTAAGGAGTAACGTAATGTGTTACATTATTTAAATAAGAAAACCTCTTCTATTATTTTATTTTTTTCTTCTTCTTATCTTCTAACTCTTTTTTTTTGGTTGTTGTCACAATCTTTTTGTAACTTATAAGAGATACAGTAAAAACTTTATAAATTAATAATGTTGGGACTTTGATATTTTATTAATTTATAGAGTTATTAATTTATAGAGTTATTAATTTATAGATTTTAAATAAAAATATTCTTTATTAATTTTAAATTCTGAAAGAGATTTTCTTTGAAGTTTATAATATTTAAAAAATTCTTTCAAAAATTAAAAAAGAGTTCTAAGAAGATTTTAATTTAAAATAATTAAAAAACATCACTAAACTCATATTTTGGTAAATTATCTCATTTATATGTTTATATCAAATTTTATTTATGGTAATTATTAATTTATAATAATAATGAGACCATATATTTACATAGGAGTTTTGTTAAAAGTTATTATCTTATTATCTTATATTTTGAATTAATCCAACTTAGAACTATGAAAAATTATTAATTTATCAAGTATTAATTTATAGAGTTTCTACAGTACTAGAAATCGTCAGAATCATAAATGGTTCGGCTCTGATTTGATTTTCTCATATTTTGATAATTAACGAGAAGGATAATTAAAATGGAAAAAAAAGCATGGAAATAAGAAATAGGGTGTGATGAGTCATCAGAGTTGTAGTAAAGATATATCTGACGTGTGTCCACGTCGTTTTCAGACCTCAACTGATAGGATAACGATGGAGAGACAGAGACTCATACATCAAATTCCGATCAAATATTTTGAAACTGTTATTGATTGAGTTAGCTTCAGAATGATCTCTCTCTCTCTCTCTCTCTCTCTCACTCTCTAGTCTCTCTCTCTCTTTGCTTCGGTTTGCAGCTAAAATGGCTCATGATATCGGCATAGCAATTAGGGTGGACTTTTCCTAATAAGAAAAATGTTTATCGCTATAATTGTATTATAAATAGTAAACAAACCACTATCAAATTACTGTAAAAGCAAATTCTTAAAGTGCATAGAGTTAAAACTAAATCTTGTTTTCTTAACTTGTTAACTTTTGATACTTATAAGTTAAAATAATCACTGTAGTAAGCATACATTCATAAAAGATACATGTAACGAGAATTGAATTTTCGTTTTTGTTATGTTCTGTAGAATTACGGATATCTATTTTTTTTGTGAATCGATGAAGCAAATCTAACAAATATTTTTTCACGACTTTAAATGCGCGTGCGTGGTTTTGCTCTTTGGCCTTATTGTGTGGGATAGACTCATAAAGAAGTGGAGATGAGCATCATCACTTTCTTTTTTTGGTCGAACGAGCACCATCACTTTTATAATTCTATTTTGATCTTTAACACAGAAGTAACACATAACAAGTACAAGTTAAAGTATGACATAACCTTTTGTAGGTACGCACTTCTCTAAATTGACAATTTAGTTCTATAAATCAAAAAGTCACAAGGACGATGCATGAATTCTTAAGAGTTAAGAGTAACAAAATAACTCAAAAAATGAAACTATAAAAAGTCCATGATACTTTACAAGTTGTAATGTAGAACAACTTAACAAATGGGAGCTCGACAACTAAGCTCACGCACTCACCGATATTCAATTACTTACTCACTCCCAAACCTAAACCAACAGGTCCGGACTCAGCCTCGGCATACATCAACCACAAGAAACCCGTTGCATCCTTTAATCCCCTCTTCTCGTGCTCTGTTCTTTTATAATCTACTCAGAAGAATAAAAAACACAATACTTAATACATAATAAAATAAAAGATCTATCTCCATCAACGAATCGTCCAGATAGAAGTAAAGAACACTCTCTACCTAATTGTCTTCTCTCAGTTGATTTCCCTCGTCAAAAAATCAAGACTTTCTTGCAGATTCTATCTCATTTCCATGTCAATAATGCCTTTAAACACCACATTTCTCCTTTAAACTCTGTTCTTGATGAGAAAGTTTCGAATTTCATCTCACGTTTCCTTCTATTATTTTTTTTCCTGCTATTTTTTCCGGAAATTTTCTCAATTTTGTCGATTTATAAGTAGAGCAAGATGCTTTCCACGAAATCGGAATCGGACATTACAAGTCTCGCGGCTTCTTCGTCGTCGCCTTCACGATCTTCAAAACGCGCCTTGTACTACGTTCATAGCCCGTCACGTGACTCGTCCACGTCCGTACATCCAAGCTCGATGATGGACTCTCCCACGCACGAATCTTCTTCTTTCGGCCGTCACTATAGAAACTCATCGGCGAGCAGATTCTCCGGGATGTCCCGATCATCGTCGTCAGAGAGAAAAAACGGCAGGAATTTCATGTTTAGCGAGAAAGAATGGCACGAGTGTAAGATTATACTCGAAGAAGATACCGATGCGTTCGATGAAATGGACGACATGACGTCTATAAGAAGGTGTCAAGCACTACTTGCCGTTTTAACACTCCTGTTAATTTTCACCGTCTTACTCTGTATCGTTTGGGGAGTTAGTAAACCTTACAAGACTCAAATCTCTGTACAGGTAATAGTTGTTTTAATTTCTAAAAAGTTTAATTCGAATTTTTTTGTTAGTAATTGTTGTAAGTATTGTAGACATTCGAGCTACACAACTTTTATGATGGTCACGGAACAGATTTCTCTGGAGTACCAACCAAAGTGCTGACTTCGAATGGAACACTAAGATTTCGTATTTACAATCCTGCCTCAATATTTGGTGTTCATCTTAGTTTCACCCCAATCAATCTCTTCTTCTCTGAACTCCCCATTGCTACCGGTCAGGTAATTTAATTTTAATACTTTAGAGCGTCTTTAATTGTGTTAATCACAACATGAATTTACCCAAAAATATTAGTCTTGGTCACTAATACATGTACTATACTACAAATTTTAGGATTTAGGTTAAATATAAAAATATAGGAACGTTATAAAAACCAAGTATCATTCGGTTTAGTTCAATTAGGTTTTGATTTCTGTTTGTATTCAATTTGTTCGTTTCTTTTTTTGTTTTTCAGTTCAGTTCCAATTTCTGATTGTTTTTTCTATGAATTTTTTTGGATCTGTTAATTTCTCTGTTGTGTCGTTTTTACTATATTTTTAGCACTAATTAAGTTTAGTTCGATACAAATATTAATTTTAACTAGAATAGACTTAATTCACTGAAACATAGGCAATAATTTTCAATCTTATTAGATTGGATTTTGGATATTTAAAATATGGTATTAAAAAAATGTCTTTAACAGCTGAAAAATCATTATCAATCGAAGAAGAGCCGAAAGATGGAATCAGTGGTGATAGAAGGAAGAAACGTGCCATTATATGGTGCCGGAGCAAGCCTAGAGGCGACGGAGAGAGGCGGAAAGATCCCGGTGAAGCTGAGATTTGAAGTCCAATCAAGAGGAGATGTGGTCGGAAAATTGGTTAGAATTTGGCACACAAGGCGAATCTCATGCACATTTGTCATCGATGTTGCTATTACTACCAAGCCCATACCGTTCAAGGATGGTTCTTGCAACTATTCCTGATTATGTAATTATTTTTGATTACTCGATGCATTAAGTAGTAAGTGGGTTAAATTTTTTAGAAAGGTGAATCTCAGTTTAAAGTCAATATTGGTTTTTACACTATACTTATACTGCCATAAAAAAAAACAAGTTTAATGTTAATTTAGTTTCCTAATAACGATCTAAAGCCTCCCGCCGTAAATCATGGTGAGATTTACATTCCACGGAACAATCTCTCCGATCTCTCTGACTCTCTTCCTCTCGGAACGATCACTTCCTCCTTCACTATTCAAAATCCGACGGAGACCCAATAACAAGCATGTCTATGAAACCAAAACCCACTTCCAAAATTTCAGTCTTCACCTTCCTCCTGCTTCTCAGTTTCCTAATCGTCGTGACCCGTTCCTCCGATGTCGCCGTCGAAGCTGGATCCGAGGAAGAATTAGACGATCTGGAGCAGCTCCTTGCGGTGGACGACCAATTGCAGGAAGATCGGCCGGAGCAACAATCGGAAGCGGCGACGGTGAGCAGGGCGCAGAGGATCGTGCTGGAGCTCAACGGAGACAATACGAAGCGGTTGATTGATGGCAGCGAGTACGCGATGATCTTGGGTTACGCGCCGTGGTGCGCGAGGAGCGCTGAGCTAATGCCGAGTTTCGCGGAGGCTGCAACGGGTTTGAAGGAGATGGGTAGTCCGGTTTTGATGGCTAAGATCGACGGCGATAGGTATTCGAAAGTCGCGTCGCAGCTCGAGATTAAGGGCTTTCCAACGCTTCTCCTGTTCGTCAATGGCACATCACAGCCTTACACTGGTGGATTTTCTTCGTAAGTTTGCTGCTTTCTCCCTAATTTGAGTTTCGGAATGGTGCTATCTAAAGGATCTTATTAGCAAAGAGTTTCAAATTTGGGGAGCGATTGTAGTGTAATTTGGGTCTAGTGATAGTGATAGAGACTAAGCGTGATGAAATTCTTGTTCTCAGTGACAATGGATTTGATTGTGGCTAGTTTGTCTTTAGCGTTTCACCTAAATTTCTGAAAATTTTGATTTCGTCTCCAGAGAGGAGATAATGATATGGGTGCAGAGAGACTGGTTGTGCCAACCATTAAACTAAATACAGTTGATGAAGCCTCCAGGATTTCTGAAAAAGTATCATACTTTTCATTGTTGGTCTATTCGAAAAGTCTGAGGTATTCAGATATTGAAAATTTGATGGATTCATTTGTTTCGACTAAGACTGGTTTCCTGGATGTAATTTTGGATACGTTGTTTGCTCAGGGTTCTGCTGGACATGATGAATTTGTAAAAGCTGCGACATTAGACAATGAAATTCAGTTTGTAGAAACAGGCAGCATTGATGTCGCCAAACTTCTCTTCCCTAACCTTAAAACCAACAATGTGTTTGTTGGAATGGTTAAAAGTGAGGCTGAAAGGTACACCGCATATGGTAAGCTCCTTGATGCATTAACGTTATGTTATTATCATATGGCTCTCCTCTATTGATAGTGTGAGAATTGGAAATTAAGTTTACTCTATTGTGTGATTTATCACTCTCCAAATAATGTGTACTGTTCATCCAGATGGAACTTGTCAAACGGACAAGATACTCGAATTTCTGAACAGTAACAAATTCCCGTTGATCACAAAATTGACTGAATCCAACACCGTCCGTGTTTACTCCAGTCCAGTCAAGCTTCAGGTGAGAAAAGTTTCAACATTTTCAACTTGTATTTAATGCCAGATTCTTTCTCTCTCTGTTGGTTGCTAGGCTGCTTTCGCTAACACAGTGGTGGTATCATTCGTGGGTAGGTTATGGTCTTTTCGAAGCCTGATGACTATGAAAATCTTGCTCAGCCTCTAGAAGATATAGCAAGAAAGTTCAAGTCGAAGGTACTTTCCAATACCGAATGGTCCGATCTCTTAAAGGCCAAATGGATTTAGTAAACCTTCTCTTATATTTACGTTTGTGCTGATACTATGCAGCTTATGTTTATACACATCGACATATCAAATGAAAACCTGGCAATGCCATTCTTGACCTTATTCGGGATTGAAGATGCAAAGAAAACTGTTGTAAGTTTTCTGAATAAGCACTTATACTTGTAGCGATTTATTGATAAGGTTACAAGCTACAGTGATTTATAATATCAAGTTTCTTTAACAGGTTGCTGCTTTTGACAACAATCTGAATTCCAAGTTTTTGCTTGAGTCAGATCTATCCCCTAGCAATATAGAAGTACAAACTTTCTCAGAGCTTTATTTTTTCCTTCATAGACACTCTAATTTAGAAAACTCATTGCTGTGATCTATTTTGAATTTTTGCAATGTAGGAATTTTGTTCAGGACTTGCGCATGGAACCGTCTCACCTTACTACAAGTCGGAGCCAATTCCAGATAACGTGAGTTTGAAACATTCATTCTCTTCTAAATGTTAGTTTGGAATAATAAACTGGCTAAACAACGGTTTGTCAAATCTGCAGCAAAATGGAACCGTAGTGGCTGTGGTTGGCAGGAGTTTTGATGAACTGGTCTTAAATAGCCGCCAGAATGTTCTTCTTGAGGTCTGTAAATAACACCAGAACTCTTATCGATGCAAATAATAAAAATGGATATAACATCGAGTATTGTCATGGATACAGGTGCACACGCCATGGTGTCTTACCTGTGAGACTATGAGCAAACAGGTGGAGAAGTTGTCGAAGCACTTTAAAGGGTTTGAGAATCTTGTCTTTGCGAGGATAGACGCTTCTGCAAACGAGCATCCTAATCTAAAGGTAAGAAACAACCTATGTAGATCCCTCTGTTGTGATTATTACTTGAGATGATAATGGTAAAATGATGGTTGATGAAGGTTGATGATTATCCGACAATCTTGCTTTACAAAACCGGTGAAAAGGAAAATCCGGTAATACTATTTATTCCGTTTTATTTCTTCAGTTCGTTTCTAACCTCCAGGAAGCTTCTTTCTTATACTGTTGAGTTGTGCAGGTAAAGTTGTCGTCAAAATCCAGTGCAAAGGAAATGGCCGTTTTTATCAATGAAGAGTTGAAACCGAAGGACCGGTCAGCTAAAGATGAGTTGTAGAAGCATCTGGAATCTGATAATATAGGGATCAAATTATTGTTGTTTGTTGAAACCAGAGGAAGTAATGTAATGGAGCTTTCGAGGAAAGTACACAGATAGAAACCATAATGTGACAGTTTAGCTATAACCAGAAGAAATATAGCGGAGTTTTGAAAATTTTGATTTCATTACTGCTAAGATCGTGCCACATATTGAAGAGTTTAGTAATGAAATAAGTCACTCAAAACGTTTTTCAAAATGTTATTGATGAGATGAAAAGACAATTGCAGAGAGAAACAAAGATGCTTATGCTAATTGATAGATTGATACACATCATCATCACAATGCCAAAGAAACAAGAAGCTCTCTCTCTTTTTTTGCTGCAACACATGTTTTTTCGTAAAACCTTGCAACAAAGTTCGTCAACATTCACATCCAGTTGATCTTTGTTGCCGAGCCCCGGCTACATCAATAGTATCAGGAAGGTACCTAAAAGGCGTCAAAACGAATAAATCGAGATAAGTTCAAGTTTTTTTTCAATTAGATAACTCAATCAGATGGTAATGCAAGCTCAAAGTTGAGAGATGATGTAAGTGTTTTGCTAAGTGTTGGACTTACACTTCTTCTTCAGGTTCATTCTTGAGGGCATTTTTGGCTATGCATTCGAAAGCTGCATCAACATTGAATCCTTCTTTAGCCGATGTTTCGAAGTAAGGAATGTTTCCCTTGGATGCACACCAAGCCTTTGCTTTTTTCTCAGAAACCTGATTAACAAAAAGAAGATGAAGTATTTTAGCACTGACTAGTGAAACTTTGTACACACGACTAACTCCAGAGAAAACGATTAAACATCTTACCACTCGACTCTTTCCACCGTCAACATCTGTCTTGTTCCCCAACACAACAAATGGGAAGTTTTCAGGATCTGAAGGACTAGCCTAAACACATTCAATAAAGATTTTGATCAATCACTGATTTGTTGATATAAAACATATTCCAAAAGTAGAGTTATGTTGGTCTTTGTACCTGGATCAAGAACTCTTCCCTCCAATTGTTAAGATTTTCAAACGATTTCAAGACGTTGACATCATTCACAAGAACACAACAATCCGCTCCTCGGTAGAAAGCAACTCCCAAACTTTGGAACCTCTCTTGCCCAGCAGTATCCCAAATCTACATGTCAAAACACATTTTACTTCATTCGTATTTGTAACACTTGTAGATTGTACATTAATATATATTGGACATGAGAACAACACTAATTTAGGTAGCTCTTTCTTAATTACACTTAACCGAGATAACCCATAAGCTAATATAATGACAATCTAAACTAATCAACCAAGAAACCAGACAATAAGCAACCATTTTATTAGATAACACTAAAAAAGTATTACCTGCAAAGTGAACAACCTGTCGTCGATTTGAACCTCTTTTGTCAAGAAATCGGCTCCAATCGTAGCTTTATACTGGTTACTAAACTTGCGATTCACAAACCTGACAAATGAGATAAATTATTAATATATTTCCATTTTATTAAAAACCATAATCATTTTTTCAAAAAAATACGCAGTAGAATCTCAGATCCGAGTATAGAATACGTACTGATTCATCAAGGATGTCTTCCCAACCCTGAGCAAAACCAATAAGAAAAATAAAAATGTCCATCAAAAATTAAAAACCAAAATACAGAGAGAGGATATTCAGAGAAGATACTCGCAGTAAAATGGAGAAACAATAACGAAATGTTAGAGCTTTAAGACGATTCCGAACACACACAAAAAAAAGCGAAATTTCTTAGTTAGAAAATTACCCACTGTCTCCGAGAATAATAACCTTGAGAAGTACTCGCCGGCGAGAAGCCATTGATGCCTTTTAGAGAAGCAAATAATATAATTTTTCAGAAAATGTAATAATTTGTCTGTGTTTTTTTCCTTCTCTCTGTTTGGTTCTTCTTCGAGGGCGAGTTTTATATTATTGGCTAGAAAGTTACGGATCCAGCCAATAACAGCACTCCAACTTTAAACTTTTTACTATTTTCTAACCCAAAAACTGAAAATTAATTTTAGCATAGTGCTCTTACAATCATTTGTATTCATATGTCTAAGAGTGTGATCTGGATTAAATATTCTTTTTAAAAATCGTAGACGTTAGATAACATTTTTTAAAGATAAAATCTCTCTAAATCACGACTGCCAACTAAACGTTGGAAGGAACATTCAAGAGTTATTTAGTCTCACCTGAATATGCGAGCCCATGAATAAATAAAAATAAAAACAAAAAACAGTGTACGTTAAGTCTCAAACATCTAATTCTATGACAGCGAATTTAAAAAAAATGTACACTTTTTGGGAGGATCATGTTTTTGTCTATCTGAGCAAAACCACAAAGCTTTCTCCTCCTTTCTGTATGTGCTCTCAGTTACATAGCTGAGTTTTGTTTCTCTAATAATTCACTCTGCTCCATCTAGAGACGCATCCGCAACCATTTTCCCTTTGTTATCTGCTTCGCCTGTGGATTCCGTTTTCCTCTTCTCCAGAAAATTAAGTCGGTTTCGCAAAATCTACAAGAGCATGTTAATACTTATTTAGGATATAAAAAGACACCATCTACAATAAGCTATTGATATTGGAGTTTCGCATAAGATAGCATTACTCGTGGACCATACCTCGAGATGGGTCTCGAGAGATTTTTTCATATCTTCCAGCTTAGCCTCTGGGATATTTGCATAGGCACGAGAGTTTTCACCAGCAACATTGTGTTGAGGAAGCTGAGATCGGGCAGAGGATGAAAGATGAGTTCCATGTGGTTCAGTTGACACTTGCTCTTTACCAGGAAAACCCGGCGACCTTAACATAAATGACCAAATATATTGGTCAGTTTTCGTCTCTACCACCAGATAACAAAAGCTAATATAGCTGAAGAACATGGATTCTAAGTATAGAAGTCACATGTGTGTCACACTGTGGAAGATCTCGAGGGACTGAAATAGTAAAGGATATGGAAAGTGAGACTAGAAAAAGCTGAAACTAAAATTGGTATGAAGTTTATGATTCAACTAACCAAAAACTCACCTTACAAATTCTAAGACTCGAAACCAAGCATAGAGTCAGCAGAGCAATACATACCATGATACTTTGTTTGCAGATGGATAAACCATTGATTTCCCGTACATGGATGCTGCAGAAGCTGCTGCTTGAAGCCTGGCGTGGTGCCTGTTCATATTGTCATTGGAACCGCCAGCAGAAGAATGTGTTTCAGAGCCCTGGGCACCTGAGCTTGAAGTACCTGCTTCAATATACACGGAACTAATTAGTCAATGTTTCCTGTCCTAATCTTAAGAATCTCAAAAGCAGACAATGGTCGCAACATATAGTGTTTTTGGAATAACCGACTTCGAAGGAGGATTTACGAAAAGAGATGCATAAACAAAAAGCAAAAAAAAAAACCAGTTTTATTGGAAAATTGCAAGTGCAGTACCTTGTTGAGAACCTTGGTGTAAACCGCGTTGGCCTGCAGGTGCAGATGCGGCATTTTCAGGAGGTACAACAAGTGCTCTGCAAGTGGGACATGTCTGCTGCCGTTCCAACCATGATCGTAGACAATGCACATGAAAGAGATGTCCGCAGATTAGCTTCTTCGCATTTGTCATTTCTTCACGGCATATGATACATGTGGCATCACTTCTGCATATTAGAAAGACATGATGGACCAATGATATAAGATTTTCCAAAGGCCATCCAAAATTCTTAAGACCAGAATAAAAAATGTGCCTACTTTAAGTAGAAACATAAATGGGATATATATGTAACTTACGCGGTAAGTTCTTCGGGAGTTGCATCAGGAAACCTGTCGTTCATATTGGAAGTGATTTTACGATAACGAAGGTAATCGGAGACACGAATCTGGAAGTTCCTGAAGGTTTCGTAGAGCTCTCGCAACAAGTGCAAAGGCACGCCATAGTTCCTAAACAGCAAAATAAGAATACTAATAAGCCCAACAGAGAGGTAAGAGCTTCTTAATACCAAGTCTAACCATCTTTTTCTTTCCAGATGTTTCATTCAGCGTTATAGATTCCTCAAATAATATCATTCGAACGATTTTGAGAACAATCTGAATGGATTGAAAAACTTACATGAATATGACAAAGAAGAAGCATATATACATCGACAAGTGAAGCAGGTCACGGATAAGCTCAAGATAGAAAGTATAAACAGGTTTCTTCTCCCATTGACCATCCATGATCATATCAGTGACATAGAAAACATACTTCACAAAAATCGCAACAGTTGTTGTCGCCAGGATCATATACCTGTAAGAGAAACTTATCATCAGCAACATAGTATCGCAGATACAAGTGTCTCCGGTCCTGCAAGAAATATTAGACCGATCTTCTTCGACCTCGAAAGCAACTTACTCGAAGGAGAAGAAGAGAGAAACCGAAGCCTGACGCGACTGAATCAAGTGACGTACAGAACTATACATAAAGAGACTATCCACAAGAAGAAGGAACCCCATGAAGGAGACAATACGAACATGAGAGAGCTTGGTCACAGAAGGAGTGGTCTCAATGTATTCAACTCTTTTCTGGGCAAGCCAATGTAAAGCCTTGATAAGCAGAAGAGTGACGACCAAAGGAAGAAACCCACTAGAGAAGTCCTGTCGAAAAATAGTAACGGCGAAGAGAATCTCCATGAGCTCTCTCCAAGCTTGT